TGGTGGAATTCATGTCCAAATACAAATTAGTCCCTAAATATTGCAGCTTGCATCATTGAAATAGTGCCGCTTTTCAGTCATCAGCAATAAAAAAAAACGGGTCTGCGTCATCTTACAGCAGGACGAGCGGATGAGATTCTATCAAATGCTGGGCTGAAAAATCCAGGTGCCCCTCTTACTCAATGGCTATTGGTACTCTGGTATAGTCTAGTAAATGCAGTAATACAGTACAAAACTGTATATCAGTGATATCACTTCTCGTTTTGCGGTTTAATTTAAAATGCACGTACGAATCCCATCGTTGTTGAAGTTCCGCCGATTTTAAGGCAGCGATTTAAATTCACATGATTATTTCCACGTTTATTGTCTCCACCTGTTCATGTACTACTGTACATGTATACAGTAAAGTACTTCCAAAATACGAAAGACAGTCTTCAGAGGTCCAACACGTTTTTTTTTTTATTGCTGATGACTGAAAAGCGGCACTATTTCAATGATGCAAGCTGCAATATTTAGGGACTAATTTGTATTTGGACATGAATTCCACCAAAATTCAGTGAATTTTCAATTGTATTGAATCAAAAAACTATTCCTGTCAGATTTGATCTGAAATTTCGCATTATATATAAATTCACGTATGATGCAGACCTAAACTTTTTTTTTCAAATTTTTATCACCGCCGATATGTATGACACGTGCACTCTCTTAGTTATTCCTGCCAGCATTTTTGAATAGGATTCAAAAGGTGCATGTGCTGGTACTACAGTATATAGTTTAGTAAATGCTTCATTTAGATGAGACAACATGAGATTGACCATTATTCATGATCGCTATCGCTAAATGCAAGGGAACGCACAAACATATACCGTGATCAAATTTGACAACGCTTTATCGAATTCCAGTAATCGTGTCATCGTTATTAGCAATTGTACGAACAAATGAAAAAGCCATGCAGGGGATATATAATATCAAGTCCCAGAATACTGATTTCATTGCAGGAAGTATTAGATATTGAAGAAGAAGATGATGTATATACACGCGGAAAATTAACAAGTTATTTGACGCTTGGGGTGCAAAAATCCGTATCAGTGACTTCTCTCAAGTGATCGAATACGCGAGAAATCGCCACGAAGTATTCCTCGAAATAAATTAGCAGCAGATTGATCAGGATGCTTACGCAAGCAAAATATCGGGAAGACGGAGATCATCATCTCTGTTTCACATAAAAGCCCGTGATGAGAGCTCGTGTCGTCGCGGATACATATACCCAATCCTTATATCGCTGCCATCAAAGAGAATCACGACTTGAAGAGTCATCAAACACTCGTGGTACGTGGCTTATGCTGTACAGAATAAGGGAAACCTTGAAGAAAGTGCTAGGAGACGCAGACGCCACTTGGGATGAACAAAACTTTTACCCTCTTGGGCAAAATACGAACTTCGGGGCCTCATTATCTATGGGTGAGGTATACGTATACAGTGTATGCACATAACAAATCGAAAACTGGACGAATACCATGAGAATAAAATCTTTCAGAGGTCATCACAAGGCTGGCGAAGTGACGGAAGTGTAACTGTGTAAGCGTGTCCGTGGACTAAGGCATGCATCTTATTTTTTTTTTTTTTTTTTTTTTTTTTTTTTTTTTTTAATAGCTGCAAAGGTGCATATATGCCCATCTTGCCTGAGACCAACTCTTTGCCACTCCCCTCTCAGTCACTCCCAGTACAATTACCACACTCTCTCTTACAGTTGTGCATGAGTGACTGGAAAAATAGGGAACTCAACTGCAGGTTTTGAGGTCTATTATTGAGGCCCACAAAAGTTGAGTTGTATATTGAACAAATGAGTTCTTATTTTGAAGCACATATTTCCTAGAACAAGGAATTAAATTTAAAACGATTCAACGACTGATGGGTTTTATGAGTTGAGATATAGACAAAACTGTTCCATAGTAACGGTAGCTTTCAACCAGATACCAGGTCTATAAAACTCTTGTCTTTTCAAAACCAGTTATAAACCTCTGTTACTGATGCATGTGGAACACACTTGTCATCTCAACTTCAACAAACCCTATCGATGTGTTGTGGTTAATATAACTATATATAAGAAAAAGCATTGGATCAGCAAATCAAAATTATTAAAGGAAATGCACAGATTTCCATGTTCTCTCTCCCCCAGCTCATAAATGTAAAATGTAGAATTTATACCGCTGTATAGATAATTCAAAATCATTATTCCTAAAAAAAAGCTGCTGCTGGGATGACATACAAGACTTATTGATACGTGTCATTAGCGCATCATACGGGGTGCGCGTCATAAGCGGGTTCAAATTTTTCAAGAAGTTTTAGGAAATCATGTGTGCATTATACTCAATTATAATGGAGAAATTTGGAAAAATATAACAAGAAAACTTTTTGTACTGAAAAAAGTTGAAAATTGATCAGATTTTTGTTCAATTCATGTCTACAGTCAATTTTTTGTATCTATTTTAAAAATTTTGTGGTTTTAGATTCATAGCACTAAAAATTGGGGGCGCGTCTTACTTGGGGATAACATTTTAGCCAAATTCTCAACTGGAAAACCCCTGTGCGCCCCTTACTTGAGGGCGTTCGGTACTTGACTAAATACAGTACTGAATTTGAAACCTACTATTGTGAATCCATGTTCCAGATGACAATCAATTTTAAAAAAACATCAATTGCAACATTTTTTCCAAAGAAAACAGTCAGACAGCGCTTTAAAAAAATACAGTACTGTAGTAGCCAATGGACATTGGTCAGTAAATTCAGACAACTGCAGACAAAACACTTAAAAAAACAGGAAAAATTAGTACAATGCAGCTTCCAAACTAATGGAAAAATTAGATAATTTGACACAATTGAAAGTCAGAAACAACAACAAACAGAACAGCAACTGCAAAAGTGATGCCCTGCAACAGAGAATACAAATTAGTATACAGGACATAATCACGTAATTCCCTCAGGCAAGCATAGGACCAGATATTGCCTCTATATAGTGAACATCACAGTTTCAGATGCTGTCTTTGTAAAACTCTGACTTATATAGTCACGCAAAATTTTCCACAAAATAAGCTCAAGATGAAAAATTCACAGGGGGCACATGTGCATAAAAGAGCAAGGTCTATGGTGATGACTTACATAGATCAGTTGTGAGCCATTTTTTTTAATTAGAAGAAATCTGTGATCTACATTTGAGTACAGTATTTTTCATGGGATGATTTTTAAAAAGTTACTCCACATTTAAAGATCGTTTTTATCAAATAGTTTCTGTCATTCCTTCTCTCTAGCAGACAATGCATGAAGCAGTTCCCCTATTTTCACATTCCTGACAACATGCCACACCAAGTCATGGACCACCATCAAGTAGTGCAACTCTCTCCCAAAATGAGGTCGGATCCAGGTCTGACCAGTCTTGCACAATCTTAGACTACAGTCTATAAAGCCACCTGCCTTTCCGCATAAACATACGTATTGCTCTGTGTTCACTGCTGTTGGAAATATGTTACTGTGGTTCATCTATGTGAAAAAAACAAATCATACACATACATTCTTTTATAGAAACTTGAGGAGTCTTCACTGTAAAAACCCAGCAATAGGGAACAGAAATCTCCTCATAAAAGTAAAGTTGTCAGACCTAAATTAAGAATACATTACAATGGTAAGGACGTAAGGTATTAAATATAAAGACTCAGGAGGCGTCTTGAATGTTTGTATGTGACAACCATTAATTGAAAGTCAGAGAACATCGTTTCCAAGGATTACTAACACTTCATATACAGAAAAGACACAAAAAACCAGATCCAGGAATTAATATATTGTACATGTACGTTTTGCGGATTTTTCTTCTATACTTCCATTCCTATGCTTTGCAATTGTATTTGTAAAAAGGGATTCTTGTAATCACGCGATCAATTCAAAATGCAATAAAATTTAACTTCAGAACCACCCTTTCATAGTGACACAAACACAATAGAGAGATGACAGGTTCCCCTTGTGTTGCAGGAAAATTTAATTTATCAATACCTATACTCACTTATAGTGGCATAAAAATGTCATACACTGGAAGAAAAATGGGCCCAGACCAAAGACATCGAGGAAATTTCTAGGAATATTGAAAGGTTAACACTGAGTAGCCAAGTCCAGGATAATTTTGAAAAATATTCTTCTGAATGTACATGCAATTGGCTAGTACAGTATTACAGTACTGTACTTTGATCTCCTCAGTGAAAGGCATGTGCATAACTGGAAAAGCATCAATAATATCTTCACCTGACCTTTGAATTGTGTGCTTTCACTGACAAGCAGATACAAAACTCCATGGAACAGCTCAGCTCTTGATCGGAAAAAATGCAAAAGTTAAATTTATTCTGTACAATTACTTCAAATTAAATACAGTAGGCTACTATACTGTATAATGTTAAATTGTGTATTTGGGCCTGACATTATTTCTTGTGGCATTCTCTCTGATGAAGCAGAGTCAATGGCCCAACAATTCCACAAATACGCATATTTTAACCATAGTATAGAAGCCCTCAACTAATCCTCTGATATAATAATACAAACTCAATTTAGTGCCGAAGTTGTTCAGTGCTCCCATACTGTTCGTGCCAGGACGAATTATGGCACGAAATTCAGCTGGTATAATTTACACTGTAATTTGTATCATTTATAATATCACAAGATTTCAATTCTGTGAACTCGACATGGTATTTTAAAAAATCCTGATACAGTAATACAATTCCTTCAGAAGGTAAAACTTCGTTTTTTTGTTACTTTCAATTAAAAAAAATGAAGTAATCTGTTCGGAAAGATTCCCAGAGAGGACTGTAATAGTTGAGTCACTCCGTGACGGGGATTTGTAGGGCTTAATGGAATGACGAAATTCTACTTGAAACGGCTCCAACGAAGAAATCGACTGCAGAAAGCGCTCAAGAGTGAAAGTTCAAAAAACTATGACAAAAAGAATGACGACGCGAAACTGTTCCACTTTCAAAACCACAAATTGCATTTGAAATCCACAAATCCTTGCGTAATCATCAAACTCGGTTTGGTTTGACAAGACTAAGCCCATCAAATTTGCCCACGAAGAAGCAAACGCAATCAAGTGGGGCTCGAACAAAAAATATCCATGATCCCTCTTCACTCAAACATTCTTCGCAACATATGGCCATTCGGTCTATCAAATATCTGTCCACAATAAATCCCTTCCAACGCGAACGCATCAAAGCAAAGGTTATTAAATGTCAGAATGGAACCGAACTACGGGACCCCGCCCAAAAAAAAACATGCCTAAAATTCCGAAAAGATCGATGCTTTCTCGGGATCTCCAGTGAAAAAAAAAAGATCAGCGCACAGAAGAGACAATAGCCGAGCGATTAATTGCAATCAGGAATTAAAACCCGCCCACAATTACATCACAGCCGAAAACAAGTCAAGTTTCCTCCAGCAGTCAGTAGAAGGAAAATTTTGGCGAAAAACACATGAAATATTTTTTTTGTTGACAAGCTCTTCGTCCGACGCGGAAGTCCAATTGGCTCCGATCCCACCAATTACATCATAACGCATGGATAAAAAAAGCTAGGGTTATCGTCGCTCGAACAATCAAAGAACCGCAAGACGGAAAATACTCAAGCACGAAGGAAGAAAACTGATCCAACTATACTGTAGTAGATGGCAACTCAGCTGAAGCAACGAGCCTGACCCAATCCCACAAGCAATACAGCACAGAGAAAAATTAACAAAAATTTTGTCTAGCAGAATTTTGCGGCAGTCAAAAAAGAAAATCGCGCGAATACGGTAATTTCATTTTCACAACTAGCATGGGTGTAGAGTGAATTCTCTTTCGAACAGCCGAACAACCCCCCCCCCCCCCCAAAAAAAAGAGGCATCCTCCACTGATCCATTTATTTCGAGAATGATAACCAGATAAACGGAACGACACGCTATCGGATGCATCACAAACTTCAGCAGAAATTGCGTCAGATTCGGGAAAAATCCATCCAAAGATTCTCATTTGGCGAAACATTAGAAAAAAGTGCAATCGTTAGCACACAACTACAACACTAAGACCTAATTCACGTCACGTGGATATTGTACCTCCCTCGTCAAATGGACGGCAAAATCTTCCACTTCGCCCCGCCAACATTTGAAAAAAAAAGACAAGAGAAGCGAAACGAAAACTACACGCAGCTTTCGAACACTCCAACGCTTTTGGGGAACACAAATGACCCAAGTACACAAGCGAATGACTAAAAAAAACAACCCGAAAACTTTTCCTTCGCGGGTGAACTCAAAATCGATGAAAAAATCCGCTGCATAATAGCCTAGATTAAGCGAAAACTCGGTTTTCTTGAGAACTAAAAATTTCTGCTCCTAAGGCGACAAACCCCGCAATCAACCCTAAACCGAAAAACACGCAAAAAATATTACCAGCGAAAATATCCGATATGATCATTTCTCACCATAATAAAACCTTGCTGGAAATTAAATGCAACACTACATTTTTGAAAAAAAAAAACAAACAAACAAAAAACTAAAGCTACTAAGGGGGTACATTGAAAACATTCCCAGCATAAAGCTTGGAAATCGACTCGGCGATTCACAAAGTGTAGCGTCGAAGATAGAGAAAAGCTTTTCAACAGTGGGAACTAGGCAAATATTCAAGCTCTTTTTCCTTCCTCAGGAGAAAATTTGACAAGAGTAAAATCGAAACCTTCACTATTCCAAAGGTGAGTTCCTCTGGTCGGAATAAATTCGCAGGAAGTTCTGATCCGCTCAAGATTTGAACTCGTAATTAATTCAAACGAGGATTATTGTTAGCATACAGTACTCACAGAAATAATTTTCCCTCTTCAAATCTGCTTCAGATCACAAAATCAGCTTCCAAATGTATGATAGCATCTACATAACACGATCACTCGTCCTTCGACATGTTAGCTCTCCAGATATGCATTCGCGGCCTGCGAAATTTCCCTCGACGCACTGCCTACGGCCCTACGCGTCCAGGTTATCCCATCCTTTCGCCTTCCACATATCTCAACACTTATTTTCGTTTCTGCGCACAAAATAACCCGAACCTAGCATGTGAACTCATCAAAGATTGAAATCTTCCAAGGAGCTTCAAATAACCAGACAAACTTGATGTAGAGTCATCAATTTTCCAGTAACGCTTTTGCATGTCATCTACCATTTAAAATTTCAATTGTACGCACGTACTCGCATGCACTAAGCCGACTGCATATGTAATCTCACACATTTGAATAGGTTCGAATTCATTCCACACATTCGAATAAATTTCGATTATTTTTAGTCAGCATTAAAATGCCACATAGAACATTTTTTGGATTTCCGTCTCTGCAAAATTCTCATAGAAGACATGGACACAATCTTTTTTGGATGAATGAGGTATCACTTCAAAAACGAACAACTTTTTATGTTGAACCCGGATAGAATTTCAAGAATCCATCAGTCCGTCTGAGGGTAAAGAAAAACTTCTGCATTCCAAGATAATCCTTCAACGAATTATATGAAATGCGGAACACGAAGAGCCCAATGCACCGAAATCATAGAAGAGATCCCGGAGAATTTTGTAGCACCAGGGACAGAAAAAACTGTAGATGACATTTCAGGGCAATTTCGTTTTTTTAAAATTGAACTTGCTTTTTTGGTCGCAATTTTTTCTTGTAAAAGTTCAACATTCATCAGTATTGTACTGGACTCAACACTGACCACAATTCCCCCTTTGCTCCTCAGGCTGAAATGGAAAGAAGACAGAGTTGAAAATGCTCCATATCAAAGGGGCACACGATTAGTTTTCGTGATCCTCACAGTGGTTCATGACTAAGAAACTCGGGTACACAAAGAACTTCACTTCAAGGTACTGAAAAAACTCATGAACAATCCATCTCAGTAGAAGATAAGCAAATACGGGTTTAGACGCAGATTTTGCGTTAGATGACACACTAAAACAAGAGCCCACCCGAGACAATGTACTACTAAGACGGAACCATTTTTAAATTTCCTTCCTCGAAGACATTTCAAAATTTCCATTAGCGAGTTCATCCAACTTAGGGCTTCCTCAGAAACCTTGAACCTCAATGAGATAATTTCCAAATGAACTCACCTTCTCGCGTTAAAATACAAGAGAAAAACGGGAAATAAACATCATAAGCAGAGAAGAAATGGTACTGAACGCCCAAGACACCATCCCAGCAGCCGTGAATCCATCGAAGAAAAAATAAAAAAATTACATGAAACGGGCCTAGTCAATGTTATCTTGGAAAATGAGCTTGGTGAACCCGGGGTAACCCTCGAGAGAAACGGCGCAAAAGGGACACATGGCCCTGTAGCCACTGGGGCCATGCGGGAACGGAACAAAGGCCCAGTACTTGACGGTCTTCTCAGACGCCATGTGCCCACACGGATTAAAGGCGTGCGTGGGCGGCTCGAAGTCCACATAGAAAGCTGGCTCGAGTCCCATCTCCAACTTGGTCACGGCACCAACCACAAAGCACATGGGACACTGGCGCTCGTTGGCGCCGGCAACGACGCCCCAGTCGTGCTGACCTTGCACGTGTCCACACTGAAGGTACACGTACATTAGCTGATTCGGCGTGTTCGAGTTGTGTCGCGGCAGCACGAGCGTGTTGAGTCCGACTGGACACTGGGGCTTGCCTGCGTTGATGATCTCGATCATGCGCTCCACGTGTCTTCGGGTTGGACTCTGTCGCAGGCCTTCGGACGAACGCCACAGCAACGTTGCGCCGCACAAATCGATCAAAGAACCGTCCTGCACACGAATAAAACCCCCCCGTCGACTCATTCAAACTCATTGGCTAGAAAAATAAGGATCACGTGGGAATGCTACGAAAAACACTCGACATCGTGTCTTAGAAATTGATTAAAAAACGATTTTTACCGTTCCAAGATTTATTAAATTTGCAAGGCATTCAAGTCCAAAGTCTAATTATCAGGAATTAACAGTAAAAATTCTTCGCTTCTTACATCATTGCCTCCTCTACGAGACATTTTTTGGGCAAATAAAAGTTTGATGACAGAAACATTTAATTTTATACTTTCAGGTACAGCATTTTTCTTCCCGCTATGAATTTTGTGCACTAATCGAAAACAGTGACTTGATGAGGCAATTTGTCTCTGAGCTGATCGTTTTTCGCTTATAAATATACTGTACAAGTATTTTAAACACCGATGAAATAATGCAACATATCCATTGTAGTACGGTACAGTACACCATACGCAGCTACCCAAATAAGTCATCACGTTTTGAACTTTTTCTTCGAAAGCAGGCAACAAATGAAAAGGAATTTGTAAAGAAATAGCGAAAGCATAAAATCGAATTCCGCTAAGCCCGAATAAAAGGATTTTCACGGAAAAGTATACAATTTACGAATTACGCAGCACTTTATATACAATCAAGGATTGTGGATATACTTTCAAGGATTGTGTCCGTTCAAAGAAGAATAAGAATTACGAGTGAGTTGGGTTTAAATATGTGAATTTTGCCACAGGGTACCAATGAGGAAGCCTTTCTGTCATGCATAAGTGAATTTTTTCTGTGAAACATGAGCGTCGCACAAATCTTGGTATGTTTTCACCTGTACTGTATTGTTCAGTGCAAGATGTTCCATCAAAAATTCAAAGAAAATCTTCCTCTGAAGTCGGACAAAGAATAACTTTTCAGTTTGAATTGACGAAATTTTGCCTAGGTTTCAGACAAAATACAGGAGCAAATTTCAAATGAGAAGTTAGACAAAAGCAGGTTTGTCACAACGTGCGGTTGGTTTTGATGTGTTCGGTGCAGTCAAACGGTTGAGCGCCTTCGTCGACATGACTACAAGAGGTATTTTTAAAATTTGTTTAGAATGAGGAATTTCAATTAGAGGTGGACTCAGGTGAACTCTCTCTACAACGATATTCCCGGTATAACGAATATTTTCAAGTCCCAAAGGGTTCTCTCCCAATGTTACATGAGTTCTCCACGAAACAAAATTCTTCCTACAAAAAATTTTTTTGCTGGTCCCTCGAATTTCGTTGCAGAGAGAGACCGCCTGCAGCACACCATAGACTTGGGGCTTGACAAGAAAAAAAAAAAAAAAACCTTGAATGATACGACTTTTTTCAAGGTTTTCAAATTTTTTTTTTATCATCGTGTATCAATACAGTTGTCAAATTACGAAACTATGGGTGATGTTGAGTAAGTACAACAATGAATCGATCAAACAAACAACTGTATGAAGACGGAGAAAAATCTTGAGTTAATCCGTACACTTTTCATGATTTTTTTAAAACAACCGTGGTTGAAGGATATTGGCTCTCTGTGGCAATATTCGCTAACCATTTCTCCACAAAAAGAAAAACTGGAGAAGTTGGAAATCCGTTTCCCCCCCCCCCCCCAGCAAAAAAATAGAACAAAATGTGGAAGAAGAAAGAAAATAACAGCGAGAAACGCGTAAAAACAAACCGTCAGAACGTTGGCTTCATCCTGTTGCTCCTCTCCACGACGCGACGAACTCCTCGCTTCTCGAAGCGAGAAAATGTTTCCGCCGACGCTCACTTCCCGCCACTTACCAGCTTTGGCGTTCCCACCAACGAACTCCCCATCAGGATGCATCAAGAGCACTCCGTTCGTCGTCAGCCCGTCCATGTCGCTGTTTTCCTGCCATTTCGTCGCCTTCTCACCAAGGAAGATATTTGATTCGGAGTTGAATCCAGCAGCAAAAACCCGAGCCTGGACCGGTTTTTCTTGGTTATCCCCGGCGTCCCGACGCGTCACCAACAGACGACATGCAAATCTGAAGCGTAAAAATAAAAGAAAGATTAAGCAAACGCACTTGGATAACCGTGTCCACAGACATGAGGGGAAGAACTGCTGCACAGATAATCAAAATCACCGAAATGCATCATAACTGGTTTATTTCTCCTTCAATATTATTTTCATAATATCAAGCGTGGACACACGAATCATTAAGCTTACCAAGAAAAAATCTGTCTCGATTTAAGAAAACAATCAAATTAATCTAACTTAACCTAACCACGGAAAAACTACCCTACGATAATCTCATGTACCAAAGCTACAATGAAATACGGCGCAAGCAGATTCAGCAAAAACCTACTCAAAAGCAAAGACGATCACAGACTTCGGAGCATTGCACCATTAAACGACATGTACAGTACTGCGATTCATTCATTCGTTAGCGACACAACGCATCAATATCAAGAGATTTAAAATATGATCAATGATTTGCCTCTACAATCTTTACATTGTTTTAAACAGAGATTATTCCACAATGAAGATTGTAAAACAAAAACGGGAATCGGCATTACCTAGAAATTGTGGACTGTCCAGCAGAGGAGCCCTGGGTTGGAGGAGGGGCACCTGCCGTATCCATGACGACGAAGTCGATCGGTTTCTCCGAGCTGCGACCAACTTGGAACAAGTCCGTCTTATCGTCCCGCACATATTCGACGACGACGGCCTGAGTGCGGCTCAGCGTATACGAAATTGAGTGCGTCGCTCGGTCCGCTACTGCTGGCAGATCCACAACATTTGGAGTGCTCAACGTCACCAACGTTGACCTCGACTGAAGAAGAGAGGAGACAAAAAGTGAAGTTGACCAAAAGTTACAATAATAATAATCGTATAAAGAATCCTGTGAACGCAGCCAAAGAAAAGCTTTTACATTGTGAGCTTTTTTATACATACAAGCACTGTAATGCACTGTATATGGCGTGCGAGTTTCTAGATGTTTCCTTCCCCTGAACGACGAATAATGCCGTACTTGAGTAACCGTATTTCCCCGAATATGACATACCTAAAATAAGAACTCACGCAACTTTCGGATTTGTAGTTAAATACAAGACTTAATTCAAGTAGTGTCGTATATGCGCAGTCCATACTGATGAAATTCACCCAGAATGACAGGCCACTCAACTTCAATTAAAATTTAAATTCACTACATGAGACGTGGACAATGTTAGTTTTACATGAATTTGCCTCAGAAAAATTCAGGATATTCTCCTGAACTGAGCTCCTCCGAATTCCCAGATTTTGCGATTTAGAAATTTTGAAGCAGTATTGCAATACGGGTAGACAATAGTCAGTAAAATTGAAAAAAAAAACGTTTTCATGGATTTCCTATAGAATATTTTTCTTTTCAAACGTAGGAAAAATTTCTTCGTTCGTGTTCGGGGTCTTGGGATTTTAGGAAAGAAAGAAAGTAAACTGGAACATTTTCTGTTCATAACAATTATATTTCGGTGTAATTTATCTATTCCAGTAATTTATTGAGTGAAATACATCGTTGAAGTGCAAATCCATCACAGCTCCGTTTTTTTTCCTTTCCTGTAATAGTGTACTACGCAAATTTTCAAAATCTATTTCTACTATTTTTTTCAACATAAATTTGCCTTCTGCTGATCGATTCGCAAAAAAAAAAGTCTGATCCAATCAACATTACTACCGTATAGAAGTTAGACTCATTTATTGTTTCAGTAAGTTGTTTGCCTATAATTTTCATCAGTAATTTTCGATAACGCTCCAACCCCTTTTAACCACCAGAAAACCTCACTGAAAGAATGATCTGATCATGATTCGACTGTAAATAAATAAACTTTCGTTCAAAGAAAAAAAAATTCAAGCCAATGCAGTTCAAACCTTCTTGAGGCCATTGGCAACGGGCCGTCGAGACAGTGTAAATTTGCTCTTCCGGCGACGACGTTCGCCGCTGGGCAAACTGCCATTGTATCCCAGAATGACCAGTTGACCATAGGCCAAGTCGCCGACCAGGTCGGACGATGTGGACGCAATAACTGAATCTGACGCAAGCGAAGTCTCTTCTCCTGAGGACAGTGTTCTTGACGTGTTTTCCGTTCTTCCCGCACACTCTTTGTTAAGCACCATGTTAACCCATTGTCTGTGCCCTGCAGACTCTCTTCCCGGGGCTCGTGTTTCCTTCGCCAAAATTCCACTAAAAATGTTTAACCGACACTTGAGTCCACTATAGAGACTAAATATCCCAAGCACCAAGAAACACTCGAAGCGAACAACTTGAGCCGCGTTTATCTGGCAGAAGATATGAGGAAAATATGACACCTTCAAGCCTGACTACAAAACGTGAAATATAATAGGTCGCTGAACGGCGAAGACTTCACTTCCCATTCCTTTAAAATCAAAGACTTACCATACTCAGAATATCGCCCTAATTGCACAAGGTCCGTCCTTCACTAATCTCTCTTCATTTGCTAACTTAAATTCTTCCTCTCCACTTTCCATAAATTTGTATTTACATTTATTTTTACAGTATTATAAAAAGCAAGTCTAAATATCTCAAAAAAAGAAAAATACTCGTGATTATTCTACATAAATATTGATACGATTGCCATTCATATCTATTAAAATTTTTTTTTTAAATGCACAGGAAAAACTTAAAATTTTCTCACTTCATAACTCAACCGCTATAAGGCGAAGAACTCCCCCATTCAAAAACATCCCCGATGTAAAAGGGCCTAACTCATCGGACACTTGCGGTTGAAAAAATTAAAAATTTTCGGCTAATCAAGATGACCAAAAATACAGTAAATTGAAAGATAAAAGGCTCGTATTTCAAAAATAACACACAATACACGATGATCTGAAAAAGTAATACCTTACTACTAAATAAGGAAAAAGCAGATTTTATAAACGTTCTCACCTCCAAATATTCAGAATCACTTCAAAACTTTTCCAGCATCCCGGCTCCGTCTTCACTCAAACGAGTCTAACTTCTGCAAAACAACGGAAACTGAATAAATACTAATTCATCAAAGTGGCATGCACGCGAATCAATAATTAATTTCAATAAAATCACTGAAATGCACCGATTGAATAGAAAATTCACTCGTACAGATTTAACCACGCACACTTTCGTAAACTGTCCAAAAGACATCACCGCGATGCGAAGTGATGTAGTTATATCTCGTTTCCCACGATGACGTCGACGAACACACTTGGGTTTCACAATTATACACGGAAATCTTTTGCTGAGAACATAGGGAAAAAAGAGTTGAAATTCAACGAACACGAGGATAAAACGGCAAATTTACAAACATGGAAAGCGGGAAGTCGAGGAGATTTCAAAACAAACCGCAATTAAAAACCTCGTCCCACCAATTCAGAAAAATCAAAGCGAAAAACTATAAGAATTTTATCGACTACTGGCAGAGTGATCAACAGTGACGTGCAAGTTCATCAGTTCAAATTGAAATCTCATCGACTTCACGACAAAATTATTAATCACGAGACTCCAACAAAACCCATCATATTTGCCAACTTTTTAGAGAAACTATCAACAAATATTCATGTCCGTCACTCCAGCAAAAATATTTTTAAACGCACAAAAGCGAACACTTTCTTCGGAAGGAAGCAAGCACGCAACAACAACAATGACATCACCTCGAACACGGAGTGTAGCGGGATCTTCGAAATCACAAGCACTCAACAGAATACTCTCGGAAATCCTGTGAATATGTTCTCAGGTGCATAGCGAACATTTTTAACCGTGGGGAGTAAACCATTGAGCAAAGCAAGCTTTAGTTCAAAGCTTCGGGTTTACGGAGTATTCTCTTCCGAAAATGCTATCGTAGATAACATTCCTTTCACGAGTTGAATGACAAAGCGCGAGAAACCAACTCGACTTTTGTGCAATATATTTCACAGCCACGATGAACAATGAGGATAGATGGAAACATGTCTTTCAAACTACGGGAAAATACAGAAAAAAATTAAGCTTTCGAATACAGCACTAAATTTACGAAAATTGGAAAGACAATTGATTTTAAGAAGCACCTTGGGTTTTCAGCGACACGCATTGAAGAAAAAAAATCATAGGCGAATTTAAGACGGATTTTTTTATAGCACATGATAACTCCGATTAATCACGCTAAGATTTCGACACATATAAAATAAAACAGCTTCTCCACCCCATAATTTTCCCTTCAGTGCTATTCCATTCCCCTCTCATCGAAAAATTATCCCAACTAATGGAGTTTTGTACTAGATAAAATTTTCATCCGTCCAGTATTCTTGAACCAAGAAATTAATGGCGATTCTTAAAATTATAAATTTTCTGACCATATAACTCAGATAATCGATCATCTCGCCGAAAGTGTAGTATCTTCAAGAACTCCAACTGACCAGAAGCACGGGATTCGACTCTAGTGGAAAAAAAGGCAATTTCACAAGGTTGAATGACAAAAGAAACTATCTTCCTGACAATATCTTAAGGAACGGGAAAATATAACTACAGTAACAATAAAAATGTCTAGCAATAGAAAGCTGATAAAATTTCATGCATGACAGATATCACAACATATTCTTCGACTAAGACGTAATTATGAATAAGAAGTATTCAAAATATTATGATGCCGCATGGTTTTCTCATACAGTACTTCAATTTTGCGTCAGTAACTTTCGTGTACTTCTTCATCAGTCAAAAAAAATTTTTATCGGTGGAAAAACATTTCAATAACAGAATAACTTGAGATTCTGATCATCTGAAAGAGCGCACACTTTCAGACCACTGGTAAGGTCAGAGATTCTCAATCTTTTGACTAGAGGACCTCATTTTAAAATCGAATTCTAAGGCAGAGACCATTTCACCTGATCCTTAACAGTTATTTTACTTGCATACAAATTTCAATTTTAATTTTAATTGTCATGATTTTATTAATTTTTATTACCGATCCTTGACTTCTCTTTGCGTTCCCTATTTATTTAATAGCAAATTTCCAACTTTTCCTTATTTTACAACCGGGAAAAGCGCTGAGGAGCGTTACGGTTCCGCGGGGCACACGTTAAGAACCTCTGAACTGGACTTCGTCTGCAAATTTAAGACGGAGCCTTATGCTTTTTGGAGGGTCAAATCGAAAAAGGGCAACTTATATTCATGTAAATACTGAATCCTGCCGTTTTGAATGCGTTGCTAGATCTGTCGCGAAGGAATCCTCAAATTCTGAGAAAAAGGAAACAAAATTCTGTAGGTTGATCACAATTCGTCATTGGCCTTATGCTGTGAAGTTTTCTTGGAATTCCCCGGCGGAAACGCGATCCAGGAAGAAGGAAACCCAGCAGCATCCCGTTCCCGTTTCACAAACGCGGAGAATGAAGACACGCAGTTTCCAACGAATTCGTTCGCCTTCGCGAGAACAACGAGATCCAGTTGCGGAGCTTCAAGCGGGCTCAGCGAAGTTTTCACATCACGACTCGTCACCACTGTCACACCCCCGCCGTTTCCCGATTTGGCCAAGGCCCGAGACAATGCACTGACCAATGGGTCGTTGTCAGTAGCGACAAACACTGACTTGGCTTTCACGCGCTTCACAGCCTTCTTCACAGCTTTGACGATCGCCTCGGTTGATGGCAAGCACATTTCGCGGGTCAGAGTTCCCTTCTCCCCGTGGTAGCCCACGCATTGCGGCGAAGAGAACAGAGACGGAAGCGAGGCCTCTTCCTGCAGGTGCTCGCAGGCTCTTTCCTGTGATAATTGAGAGTAGAAAAAGAGAGAGGATCACATTGCAGCAGTATTTCCGCTTGCAAGATACTTCGAAGTCACGTCAAACCACCACATGCCACCAAAGCGAGTCGAGGAAGCAAATGCGCATTGCGTGCAAAATAAGCGGACACGCGTTTGAGTCTTGGAACGGGATAATTTTGCCCGCTCCAACAATAAAAATATTTGCAGTTGGAAAATATCGCCTCAAGCTAAAACAAAAAAACCACAAAAAATCTCATCAATCCAGCGGTTAAAACGAAAAATAAAAATAATACAAATTTCTTCCGGCTTCTGAACAAATTTTCACGCAAAAAATTGCTTCACGCAGAAATAGTAATCAAATTTTAATTTTCCTTGGATATCAATCTTGATGGAACTTTCACCATTCCAATTCAGCGTATTGCTATCTACCACCGGCCTTTGCTTTCCAGATCACGCAAATCAGAGCATGAACAGAATATTCCCGAAAGCAAGAACAAAATCTCAGTAATAATGATAAACGGTATGTCTACTTAACAAAGAAATGATGGCAAGTATGTATTATTCTCGCACACTCCCGCCATAAAAAAACAGGCAGGGTCATAATTCTCATATCAATAATTTTCCATCAAAAGACATCCATCAAAAATTCATCACGTGCATTTCTACGTTACAAGGTTACCAGCGAAAAATAACGACGATCTTTCAGCTTAGTAAGCCTCATTATACACAAAACACGGAGTGAATGGAAGTACAAAAATGTACTTTTTATGAGCGTCGATTAACAATTACACGCGGAGAACAATAAATACTGTGATGGGATACGCACGTTGCTGCTAGCAATTGATCATATATAGTAAGTCAACCCAAGTTGGATGACATCACGACGAAGATGTAAAAATTAATTTCACAGTTCGAGAAGAAAAAACAATTGTAATTTTTGCAAGAATAAAATAAAATCGCGGAGAGGCACGCACAGTATTGAAGACAAGATGGACGCACCCACTTCGATTAAGAGCAAGAAGCGCAGAACTCTCAAGTACTCAACGTATAAGCCGGAAGATTTTCCCCCACAAGCACTCATTTCTTGGGAACCCGATAAGTCGTTAAAACAAGCACAAAAAATAAAATAAAATGGGGAATAGAATAAAGGCACGTACCCAGTCAACGCCATTACGCAGGTGCACGCCCACGTATGCACCGCGAGGCAAATTTTCGCGCACAAACTCCTCCGCAGCTTTCCTCATGCGTTCGTTCCACTTCACATACTTGTGAAGCTCCACGTTTTCCTCCTGTACGGGGAACGATGCGGGAGCCCCCACAAACGCCAACACTGCGGAAGAAGTTGCACCAAAAAATAAAACAACAGCCTCAACTTCCTGTGAGGAAACACTCTGATCGCAAGCAATCCACACGCGGAAATGGCAAGCTCCGGCTACTCCTGGTTCCTTACAAGATTCTTTCAAGTACTGTACAGTATTGAGAGAATGATTCAAACAAAAGAATTTATTTTGTTGAAACCACAACTCGAATCTTCCTTGTTGAAGCTACCCTCTTCCAACGTGCTTTTATTCCAGGAAATAAAAGAAATTATTTCCTTCGGAACCACAACTCGAATCTTCCTTGTTGAAGTCTACATTTTGAACGTGCTTCTAATTTCCACGGTTGGAAACCCGAATTCATCGAAGGGCAAAAGGTAAGGGCTATTTTACACAGGTTAGATTAATCACGACAAAGTGATTATGTCAGTTGGGTGTTGGGGTGTAACGTTATGTTAGTCATTCCCGTTAGGTTTATTTAGCCTCTGGGTTGCGCCAAGCTCGGAGCTGAGTAAGACTGACACTGGTGCCATTCGGCCCTTCGAAAAAACCACCAGGTCGTATAGCTTCAACTCGAAAAAACCAGCTATTCTCGAAGGACTGAAGAGAGATTAAAAACTTGTTCCCCTTGCCTGGCCACTGTTCGCTGGGATAGCGGGACTTCCAACCGGCAACAACAGAGCTGCGATGAGCGTCGAAACTAAGCGGCCCGAAGAACTCAGACGAGACGAAGTTTACGCCTTCACTGTCCCAGAAAGGGCCAAAGGGGTTACCGCTTTTCGCGTTACATCCGCCATCTTCTGCAACGTTCCCCATGTCAAACTTCTCCCTCGACGCGTAACAAAATGCTGAAACAATGCGGGATTTTTTTTTTGAACATCCAGGATATGAGGCAGTTTTTCTTCTTCCAAAAAACAAACTCGACCACGAATAACTAGCGAAACGGAGAGTTAGAAGAAAAAATAAGTTTTTACAGTACTGTACATAGATTGGTTCATAATCTTAGCCCACATGGCTATTCGACATCGCCATTTACTGTGCCCACTGTAATTTAATTCCAACCATTCAACAAGAAATATATTCAACGGCTTGCCCATCCAAGAAACAAGTGCTCCATCATACCGAACATGTGGAAATAAAAATTCATATAAACAGAGCACAAGGGACGGCGACCTTCACATCGCGTGACCGCAAGCTCATGGTCAACACAACCACAGAAGTACCTGTTCGGTTTTCTGGAGACCACACAACGGGGGAAACACGGGCAATGAAGTCCTTCATAAGCACAACGCGGTGGAACGCCTTCAGTGGTTCCACTTCAAACCAGTCATCAAAAGGGATCATAACCTGAAAAAAGAAGAGAAGAAAACGCCGTATTTTGAAAATACAGGTATGAACGAATTTTAAAAGGAATGCACGAGAAATTCACGTAATGCTAAAAATTTCCTGAATCAATATTACCAAGTAATCTTACGGAGTGCTCAACTGCAACCTGAAAAAGTAATTTGAGGAACACTCTACCCACTTCGTAGGCTAAAAAAAACTGGACCAATTCAAAACGTTATCACAAGATTTTTAAAAATACAGTTAAAAAACGAAGTAACGTGGAATGAATCTCAGCAAATCGTAATACTGTATTGAGAAAATCTTCACTTCACGTGATACATTTGAATAAAAAGAACTTATCAACAATACTTTTCCAAGCAGTGTCACACATGTGATCCAGTGATTCACTGCCTACAATAAATGGTCTGCGATTTCTCATACTTCATCAGACAGTTCTAATGAGCCCAAGAATGTCCAATCATCAACATCCAATCAAGAAACACATCCCAGAACGAGTCCTTCCAAAAATGTGCAGCGCACGATCAAATAAAATGGTTAAAAAAACAATACATGACTGCATTCACGGTTTTCTTTGTAGCTTTGGGTTTTCGTTAAAAATATGACAGGCTTACGTCTCGTATCTTGAACAAAATTCAAGCTTGTTTAAACCAATCAACAACTGGAGTAAAAAATAAACAAAACAAAAACGAGTAGTCGAGAGACTCCACGTCAGGCCAAGTCACGAAGAGTACTCACGGAGGTTGGCCCTGGATCCCGCGGGGGGCGGTGGAGTATCCAATGTGGCAAGACTAGCGTCCTGTTCAGCGCTTTGGCAAATGAAAGGGACCCGAGGAAGTGGTCAGCTTGGTTACCGAATCGGCCTTTGAATACAGGAAATTCAAATTTAAATTCCTCGGGAATGAAAACCGCACACACTGTAATACTGTATCCGCAGAAGCGCTTTTCTTGTAACACAGGAATAATTTTCGCGTGTTATCGAGGAAGATGCGTCCGCAAGATAAAGAAAAAAAAAACAATTGAAACATTCATGAAAAGATGCGCGTTTGCAGAGCGAATACATTTTACAAAGATGTACACAAATTATTCGGCGCAAAAACGTCTTCCTTGAAAGCTTGTTTAATTATGTTTCACTACAGTATTATACAGTACTGTACACCATTCGCGTAGAATGATCACGCGTGATAAATTTGCCACTTCAAAAAAGTTACCAATAATATCATACATTACTTCTTCTATCTAACTCTTGGCAGGATCGTACGGTCGGATAATATTTTTACTAGTTCCCAACAGAAAAAAACGATCTCATCGTAGGCATACAAAAATGTAGTATCATAAATTACGATAAAACAGAAATTTAAAAGGAGAGTCAAAAATTTTTCTCGATCTGAGCTTCGCAGGGTTCTCCATGAACTCAGATGCTCCGCGGATGCTCAAAAATAGTAAAGGGAAGATCCGAAGATGGATCGAGTTAGAGATAAATCCTGTAGTTAATAAGATCTACAAAAAAATGGCAAGAAATGTGCTACCATACTTATATAAGAAATCTGCGTTCAATATCGAGATATGTGATAAGCCTCAGAGAAAGGAACACGAAAATGATTTCTTCGAAGGCACACATGAACAAGTCATGGTATACAGCACTGCACTTTCAAAAAAATGAAGGCAGAAGAAAAGTTTAAAAAACCCACAAATTTATCCTTCACAATAATTGGCCATGACTTCGAACACCTGGATCCATTTTCCTTTTGTCCCAGAACTGATATCCCACACGGAAATTCAACCTAAGGTATTCGTAAACGTAAACGAACCCATAAATTCCTAACAGAAGATTATCTGAGCTTTCAACTTCCCTCGGACCACCAATTCTTCGTTCAGTATTCAACAAGTTCAATCCACAATGCATTTTGACGCACAACGCACGCACTCGCTTTCATGGCCATTGTCGGCATCCTACTCACGTCGCACTACACCAGGAATGAAATCTCTCAACGAAATGGGAGAATGTCATTAAAACTGCTTTGAAATTCACGAAGAAAGAATAAAAGCGCCGAAAACCACGGGATCAGATAATACAACCCAGAATGATAAGGCGAAAGGCAGGAACTGTAGCTATGCGATCAAATGAACAATCTCGCCAGGCGCGTATAATAATTCGGTGACGTAGAAAGCGACTGAGAGCTATCCGGAAACTTTCGCTACCACACACGATTAGCTCCACACTTCTTTCTTGGACTAATTCATACAAACCCAAGCCAACTGTTTTCGCTAGCGAAGTTGAAACAAAAAGGAAGAAATGAAAAATGAAATGAATCTTCTAAACCTCTACATTATTTTTATTATTCAACATTCATGTGACGAATGATGAATTTCAAAAAATACGCCATAACCTTTTTTTCACGAGGTAGCCATCTGTAAGAATAAATAAACACCATCAACTGCGGTGGTGACCACTCTGCGAACAAGTTTGAGCTACTATCGTTGAAAAAAGCAAGCTTTAAAGTCGGGAAACGAGCATGAATTACCTTTTTTTTTTTTATTCGCAGCGGGGCAGAGAATCAATGCCACACCTGACAATGAACAAAAAATGTCGCAAGGATCCGTGAAGTTCCCTCTTACACGGTTACGAAAAAAATACTTCTAGACGAGAAGGATCAAGAGTCGACGAAATCATCAAACTGGACTTCCTATTCACAATTACTGGATCGAATACTGTGCATATGAAGATTTCCACGTAGCCCACAACCCGTAAATGTTAACTGACTCACCCATACAAGGACAGTAGGTAACATAGCCATTCGTGTCGAGTTCCGCAGTATCACCAGAAACCAGCTCAAAAACGAGAATGAAACTCAGAAGCTTAAAGATAGTATCCATTCTAACTCGTTGGAATGGCCCACGACCAAGAAATGAACTTCCTCATGCGGTACGCGCACTCCAGAGAGCAGTAATTAAATAATCAAACATGGAAACCGTACGGACGAAGTCCAGTTCCCGGTTCTGCAAACAAGAGCATAATGAATAACTTTCGTATGAGAGTTCGCGTTCCGTCGGGAGTAACACGGGGCCAGTTGAAGGATGCGATATTCTCATAAGCATCCACAGCTAAGGTGAACCGATTCACTCTACAAAAAGCCACACCGCTTCAATTACAATATCCGGATAGATGGTGCGGTGCTTAAGAACTTTAGATAGTGAGGTTTCCGCGTGGATCGCAAAAGTTCATAAGCACTGATGGCGCAAATCAACACGAAACTAAGTGATCCCAATCGTCAGCTACATTCCAGATGGAAATAAGTGACAGGATCCAGAACGTTAAGAAGTCGGTCATCCACAGGAGAAGTAATCACAAAGTTAACCGACGTGGAAGAATGCCGTCGAGAACATCACCATTCTCATAACAGATACGCGACCAAGAGCGCGAAAAACACTGTATACAAATCGATGAAAATTTACACACCGAAAAGTTCAGAACAGAAAATTCACGTGCTCTTTCAGGGCACGTCTGCATTTCACCTTCCGATGAAGAGACATATCCCCCTGGTTTGGGTCCACAATAAATGGCAATAAAGACTCGTTCGGATGAAGCCCGCCAGGTGACGGTCTTCAATCCAGCAACATCAAAACTAAAGTATGTGTACTCCATGGTTTAAAAATTTGAAGAATAACTTGACCATTCATTACAATTGGTCTAATCTTAAAATGCTTATTTTAAGATTAGACAAATTGTATTTGATACTTGTATACGCTAACTGTTAATCTCGGCCTCTACATTTTATTCGCAATGCATACTGTGGATTTTTTGGGTGACATCTACGCCTGTACCCTCAGTTACATATAGGCACCCTTCAAATTTTAAGTACAGTACAGTGATACAGTATGTATTGTACAGTACAGTACTCGGATGCTGTCGTAAAGTAATACCCGAGATCAGAGCGACTCATGTTGCTGCAGGTTCACTGAAATTAGATTACAGTAATTCTTTGAATGCGATTACTTATATCATGGGATTTTATTATTTCTGGCCCAATTGATTTGTAATAATGATGTGTGCCATGGATCAATGTTGATAAGCCGTGGACTTCGGTGAGCTGCTGATTCGTGCCGATCGTCCTTAAGTCACGGTTGCTATCCTGTTTCTGAAGCCATTCTTCGCACAATCTTTTGCGTATGTCGGAGAACAATGAATGGATCTCGTCTCCGAAGGAGGAGCGAACGGTTGTTGGTACGTCTTGACGTTCTTTGAAAAATTTCAGTCGCTTAGTTGACTTTTTTATTTTTCTTGAAGCCATTGCGAACTTCACGCCGAAGCAGTATTCCGAAGAAATCCCGGTTACCTTATTATCTTTTTGCGTTGGTGACGTGCTGCACACCACGCATCGATGCAAAAGTGAGTTTCGGTATTGTTATCAAAAGATTTTATAATTGATCTTCGAAATTTTACCCGTAGACTGGTATTTTGGTCAGTTTGCGGATAGTAGAGGCTTTAGCGGGATTTTCCCGTGCAACTTCGTCGCATCTCTGAAGCAGAGCTCCGGTCGTCCAGCGTAAGCATATCGTGGTCATTATGGCTACCAATGCAATGTTTTGAACTCGAAATCGTCCGCAATTGTCAGATCTGGAGATGAATACGACCCGAACGATGACCCGATCGTTCCAGAGATGGCTCGTGTCCTGCGGGAGTGGCATCCGATTTGGAAACAAAAGTTTGCTGTAATTGAAACTTTATTGATAATCGATAATTAAAAACTTTTGTTAACTATTCATGCATTCTGCAGCGATCCCATGCTTCATTTCATGAAATTCGAGGGATGATGCTGGAAATGCTGAAGATCCGTCGAGAAATCCTTTTCTCCGGAAAAGTTACCTTCGAGCGCATGCAGGAGTTGAAACAGCGTTCCATTGACCTGATAGCGCTGGGTAATAGTAAGCTCGGCCTCGACGTTATTGTTCGCGACGCGAAAGGAAACTCCGTTAACCCGGAGAAGATCTCCGCTGTCGAGCTGTTCCATTTGCATGAAAAAGTTGCCGTCCGAACGAAAACACGGAAGGTAGTCTTTGCTTGAAGTGTATGGTTTCAAACATGTATGACTCTGTCGTTGGTTCCCAGGAAACTCGGATATCGATTCCACCGTTGGCGCGAGCATCAGCATCGAACCATATAAAATCCTACAAACTCGCCGTAAAATTGTCTGCTTTTGCGATGTCCGTTAACCTGAAGCATCGGTATCAACTTCTGATCACACTTTACCATCGTGATCATGCTGCCAATATGGTTCAGTTCACTGAGCCGCTAGCTATTGAATGGAGTTCCCGCGATTCGTTCCTACGCTTTGACGATATGGACTGCAGTGACGCTGTCGTATTTACGGTTCGCAATTGTTAATGTTGGAATGCATACCACGTTCCAAAATACTGGGTGATTCACGCACTTAAAGACATATGACAACGTGAAGACTGCTGGGAGTTACGTAGACATGTTTGGGAAATGTGCGTGTTAAAGAAAAGTTGGACGATGTGAAAAATGGTATAAGATTCCTGTCATCACCTTGACAAGCAAAGTATCCTGCATCTGGAAGAGTGAAAAGGGGATTTTTTCCTCTTTCTAGACGCGGAACCGTTGCTCGCGTCTGGACAATTTCGGCACACTCTGGACGATCATGGTTTTTTTCCGAAATGGCGGAGGTGCAGGAACACATTGTGGAATCCTTAAGACAATAAGTCTTTTTTCTACTGTAGAACTTCAGTACGAATGAATCACCGTGGCATTTGTCCTGGAAACATCACAATTGGTCCTCTTCCTTTTCCTATTATCCGAAGACTGGCTTTGTTTGCACGACTGCAGGGGGTTTTTAAACCGTCCAATTTTAATTTTTCGAAAATCTCTATCACATGTTATTCACTTTCTGACGTATGGGTTTAGTAGTGCGTGAGTCACCACTTTATTTCGACACTTATAGAAAGAATTCTTTGAAATCTCTAGGATATAAATGGGAGAGACTTGGAGAAAGAACGTCGACCGCATGTAGTGGTTTTCTTGATAAGAATCGGACCAATGGATGCTGGTGGAGATGTGAAAAAGCGTTCTGCAATGACACACAACTCGGATCTCCGACGTCCCATTGGGGTTGCCGTGAAGGACATAAGTGAAATAATCGTGCCAACTCCAGAAGGCTGTCGAAATTTTTATCTGGAAGACGTCATTGTTCCATTCATTTTGTGAGTTCTGAAAGTGTCCGAAAACAATGAAAGACAGTGATGCGCCTTGAACGGAGCAGAAAAATGTCCAAGGAGAGCTTATTCGATCGTAATGATCGAATTATGGAATAACCTTAAAGATCGAATTATGTAATGATCGAATTATGAAGAAAAAATCTTCAAAGAAGAAGCATCTTAACTTGTTTTTTCTCTATCCCGATTCAGCCATGTTGAAGGAATCCATTTCTGATCAATATTTTGATTTAAACTTTTTCTCGCGAATAATTTCGGCAATCGGCGGTTTAACATTTTTTGACATGACAGCTTGCAAAGAACTCCTCTCCCGTGTTGGGTTACAAACAAAAGCTTGCTCTTCACTGCGTCCTCCTGTGCTTCTTCCACTCGGGCTTCCTGAATGTAATTTATTATCCTACCACCATGGACATACCTGTTAGCCAATTTCCCGGGAGTACTATGCATTTTTGAATGATCTTTGGTTTCGTACAAATGCAACGGGAGCCTTAAAATCTTGTACAGTAACTGTATTACTGAAAATGTACAGCATATCGCATATGAATTTTTCCCTCTCCAGAAAAATGTTTCGACCTCACAAGAGATACAGTAATAAATTTTTTTTTTCAATCAGTATTCTCATCTTGGTTCAGCCTGTATTTAACATTTTTAAAGATGGTGTAAATAATTTGTTCATGTGTGCATGTTCAAGGTGTGGAGAGAGGGAATGCTTGTACGACACATTGCTGAAGAGCTTTGGATCGAAGCCACCAATTTCGAAGGAGAAAAATCCGGAAGTCAGTTTGTCGATGCGTCTTTTTGACCATGCCGCGGAAGAATCCATGGCGCTACAGGAACGTAGCGCTCACGAGGGCAGAAAATTTGGATTTCCCGAGGTGGTTCTGCCCGAGTATTTCCGCAGTGACATTTTTGTGACGATCATAAGCGCGGAACTGGCAAAAACGAAAAACGTGGAGGTGAACGTTAGCGTGCATGACGACGAAGGGAATCGCATCGAAGTGCGTATATTCAGATGTAACGCAAACACTAATAGTATCTTTTTGATTTTTTGCACTGTTTTTATATCCCAGGGAATCAATTGCCTTTTGCCAAGAATACTGTACTGTTTTAGTACGAATGAAATTATTTCAAGATATTTTCGCAAAGCGTCACTTCTCACTTCGCAGAATTGTTGACGGTTTTACACTGAAGGTTCCTTCATTGGTTTTATTGGATTTTTGAACTGCTCGAATTTTTGTGTGTGCTTAAAACCGTTGCAAAAATGCGTCTGTGGAAAGCTCTAAGGTTGCATAAGATTAATAATTCGGAAAACGATGATTGCGGGGTATTTTTATTGTTCGGTCCTCCCGATATATTACATACGTCAGATATTCTCGAAAGTTTCGTCTGTTGCGTTTCTAAATATTAATGTCTCATTTGCGGGGGAAAAGTGTTCTGAGAAAAAAAAAATTTTCACAATCTTCCAGACGGCGTTTTGCCGTCTTAGTTCTCGTAAAAATCACGAAAGTAAACTTGCCTTATAATTTTGCTGCGAAATTGTGATTGGAATGAACTGAATAAGTTCAGGCTTCGTTTTTTGGATGAGAGTATGTGTTGAAGTCGTCGATATTCCTTCAGGAAATAATTTACCTTGGAGCTGGGGCGGAGCCAATTTCGGAATTTCGATCTGTGGTGTACTATCAGCAAGAGAAGCCGAAGTGGATGGAAACGATGAGAATCGAATTATCGCCGGATTTGTTTGCAAAGACTCATTTGCGGTTCACAATGCGGCACCGATCGAGAACTGAGGCTAAAGAGAAGATTGCGGATGTACCGTTTTCAGTGAGCTACTTGCCCTTGGTCGAACCCAAGTCAACGATTCTGCGTGATGATCGTTACGATCTCACAGTCATTCGAGTACGTATGTTTTGTCCATAGTTCCTTCGTTCTCTTCCAAGATTTTTATTTTCTTGAAGAATGGGATTCTTATCATATTTATCTACTGCCTAGTTGTCGATGGCGTTCGGTAGATGTCTCCTCATTCTCGAACCTCAATAGATTTGCGGAATTGAACCTTCATACCGTGACAGAATCCGGAAAACAACTAACATACCTGTGTGATTGTGTGATAGAATATCCGAAAACTACCCTTGAAATTTACGAGGTCTTATCAAATTTTAATAGTGGATTCAATTGCCGTGGAAAAAGTTTCAACAAAGCCGAGGTTTGCGGCGATGTTTCAAACTACAGTATTTAAAAGTTATCACGTTTCTGTTGGTCTATGTGATGTTGAATTGCGATCCATAATTCGATACGGACGGAATCGAGATTGGGTCAAGTCGCGCAAAATTGAAAAAAAAAAAAACTAGAAAGATGTAATTCGTTCTTATACTTTTTCGACGCAACAGCAGAACATGTTTCTAAGCTCTCTTGATCCAAGAATTGAAGCATTTTATGAATGCCCATTCTAACGAGTTTATCTTCAAACCTCGCAAACGATGCATAATTTTGGCGTCGCTGGAGAATATCTCGATTGAATATGATACCCTTGGCTGCGCTATGAGCTTGCCGGAAATCATAATGGTTGTGAACTCTGAAATTTCGTAAAAATTTGTTGAGTGAATGCTTTCGTTGACGATTTTTTCTTTCATCATTCATGATATCAAAATCGGATGAGTAAGGAAAAGGAAATGATCCGAAAAATACTTCGGAATGATCTGATAACCCAGTGTGTCAACCCCCTAGAGTGAAAAGGAACTTCAAGCATACATTCGATAACCGTCGAATATTATTGCTGAGCGTAAAATATCGTTAAATTCAGGAGCTTTCCTTGTCTCACCGTGCATGTACATGAACATTTTCAGTTGACATCTGCTGGTGAGAAAAACTGGCACGACCGTGACATTTCTTACACTGACGAGGCTCAAGGCATGTTCAATCTACGATCGAGTATAAGCGAAGGGATGAAGTTGACAACGAAGAAGTATACAGTTAATTTGAAGGAAGTGCTTCGTGTTTCAACCATAATATGCTCAACAAAGCTCACGTACGACATTCACCTGATGTCTTTGTTGAAATGGAAAGAAAACCTAAGCAATGTGAAATCGGTGCTGCGGGACTTACAACGCGTGAACACCGCCGAAATCGTCAAGTTCCTGAGAGACACGCTTGACGCAATTTTTGGAATCCTAATGCATTTTGCGGACACCGTGGACAACGACGAAGAAGTTTTCGATGCTCTCGTGCACGTCATTTCGAAGATGAATGAAGTCCAATACGAGCATTTCAAGTCTGTCATGAACAGTTATATCGAAGAAAGCTTTCATGCAACATTGGCCCACAGGTGACTTGTACGAGGATTTATGCGTTTCTGTTCCCTTTTTTTTTTTTAAATAAAATTTTTTTTTTAGCCAGTACTCATGTCATATGATTGAATTAAACTGTGATTATAAGTTCAGTATAGGTAGACTCCCTGTACAACAAACTTGAGTGACCGGCGAAAAATTGTTTTGGAGAGAACTTTGTTGTAGAGAACCCCATGGGACCACAACACAATTCGTTGTGATGTACGGAGAGTCTACCCACAAGTACATTCTGAATTTTCCAGCGATTATTTTTGTAGAGAAAAATTGATGAAGTGACGTAAATTTTGTTGGAATAGCAGTTTCAGAACCTGTTTCGTATTTGAGAGAAATTCGCTGACTTCTTCAATTTTTGACGGATATGTAACCGTCTGTGCTCACTCGAACGAAATTTTTTTTGGTCCAGGTTGGCCTTATCCAATTTTAAAGTACCGGTAATTTGTAAGTTTTTAAATTTTGTAGTTCAAGAAAGTTCGAAATGCCATTGAACCCAAAGTGATAGAAATTACTTCTAGTATACTGTATTACAATAATTGATACCGTATCTGTGCACCAGGGATTATTTTCGGAATTCGAGATGCATCTAATTGAATGTTTCTGCTGTTCATTCTAGCCAATGGAGAAGCATTTCTCAAGTTTAACCCCTTGAATCAATAATAAAATTCAATGTACCTTTGTTATCAAAAATAACTTGCCCGATGTCCCTCGTAGCATTTGTAACTCATTCCACACGCTTCACGAATCGGGTCAAATCCCTACAAATCTTGACTTATCTTCGCAGGAAACTTTTGAGAATGCTGAATATTGTGATCAAGAAGCGTTCGGAGTTGCAGAATGTCATGAAAGCTACATACTTCATGTTCAAATTTATCGTGAAGTCCAGGAATCTGTATGTGGAATGTTTGTGAGTGTCTTGAATAATTTCTTGTATTGCTGTAAGTATGTAAATTATCGAAATTTGCTGTTAGAATGCCGGATGCTTCCAGTAATGATGAGTTCGAAGAGGAAGTTGTCGAAGTGTATCGGAGTATGGCAGATTTGATGAAAAGGACTGAGCCTGAAGCCCAAGTTTCCCAGTGTTTTTGTCTGAAACACCTTCCGCAAGCGACCGCTGATTTGGTGACTGTCATCAAGCCGGCGACTCTAAGGTTTTATTCTAGATTTTATTCATTTTTAATTTGAAACGGAAGGGATTAAACAAAATGGTTTGATCGTGAATCAAGCGCCTGCTGGGGTGGCATTTTATCAAATGTAAAACGATCGCAACGGAGTACGCAATTCCTCACCACCATGAGGGAAATCGTGACGTCACCTCTGTTCACATCTACTGACGCCCGAAGTATCATTCTTCCGGTGATGTGCAGAAAAATCGCTGAACGGTTAACGTTGGAACACGAGGTCAGTGTTGCATTTGACGCCATACTCAAATCCATGATGAAATTTGCGCACGGAAGTAATCGAGCAAAATCACGTATTTGCTTGAAATGAACTCATGAGCGTTCTTTTCGAAATAACGCTTGTGATCTCTTAAGGCATTGATACTCTCCTTATCTAACTTACGGAATATCACTTTTAAATCACGGATTATCGGGTTTTCCCCGTGAACGCCTGACTTTTCTTTTTAAAATCTTGAGAATGTGTCGCATGAATTACCACAATGCCTTGGAGTAACCGAACAAAAGTCGGACTTCGAAACTGAAGAAACCAGAAGTAAACTAACGTAAGGTGGCTTCAGCTTGAGGAATTATGAAAAACATTCAGGTGACACTCACGTGATGGCGAAGTTAATCATGGACGTCGGTTATTAAAATGAGGAAACATGAATTCTTTCTCGTGACTAAAAGTGGAGCCAGTACTTTTTGTTACGAGAATTGCATGGACTTATCGACAGACTGTTAGCAGCACATATGAACGAATGACTTAGTCATCTTAGTTGCTGAGAAAATGAAGCGATTTACAGAAAGCGAGTGACGATCTGTTTCCGAAGGAATTGAAAAATTATATTCATAAGTGTAGACAATTAAGTAATTAAGATCTAGCCGTCTTACCCATTTATGATGAGCTATCTAAGGGCAATGCATGTGTAAATTCTTCCATCGAAAGCACTTCCGTAAGGTCGGAGGTTTCGGTTTATTCTTTTCACCCGCAGCTGTGATGAGTAGCGTTTCAGTCGCTATGCAAACCGTTCGCAATTTTCGTAGTATGTTCTTTACCTCTTGCAAAATATTCCTCACCTCTTCGAATACCGGTTGGTTCTCCAAGAACCAATATGAAAATTCTTGAATGTTTCATGTGTGCGGGTTATTGGATTGCTAACAAAATTACCGTGTGGTTTGTGCGGATAAAACGATAGAACGTTGGACATTTTCCACTTGAACTGTTTTCCTGGAGAAAACTGTTTTCTTTCGCTGACCATTGATTTATACAGTATTAAAGGGAATTAGGTTACACTGTTGTTGCTTTTGTTGAAAGATTTAGAGCTTGAAAGTATGTAATTATTTTTTAGAAGTACTATTGGTCGTTTTTTCATGGAAAGCAAACCAATTTAACCGATTTCCTTCAATTTGAACGGCGACATACTGACCTATTTTTTTCCACGAAGACTGCATTTTACGTCAAACCGCGATTCTTCGATGAGCTTTTTGGGCATCTTGACGAGTCGAAACATTTGTGAAGACCAAGCACTGCTAAGTGCTCAATAAACTCCTGCTTGAAGACATTTCTTACGACTGCTACGTAAGAATTTGCAATTTTAAAATGGAAACCTTTACGATTGCAACTTCGTACTTCGTAGTCGGAATAAATTGTTCTGTCCAAGATGGTCATTTCAGAAACTGGGGAAAAAGCATTCCGAATAAGAAATTGAGGAACGTATAACCTTGAACCTATTTAGTAGGCAATTGCCAAAGTACTTGAACTGATATCTTTTGCGAGGGTTTGCTCAACAATTTTTAGAGCTCCCTAATTTTTATTGGAGAGAGTTGATCACACTTCGTCTACCGCCGTTTAAAAAAAGTACTGAACGACTTTTACCTTGTTCGTCTGTAATCCCTATACCACTGACAGTGACTGAGATACTATTCTGATGACATGGAAACGTTCAATTGTTGTGGCAACGGTGTAATTTTCTTAATTTCTAGTGCTAAAGCCTATTGTCAGAAGTTTTCAAACTGACGACATTGGTCCATTTACTCATCGGGAGATTATTCTGGTACAGTATTTTCTTGTATTTCGTGCTAGCGGAACATCTTTTATATGTGAGTTATTCACGAAAAAGTTACGATTTCAAAGTACAGTACAGTATTAGCAATGGAGAAACAATATTACGAGTTCGCCTCTGATATGTACTACAGTATTTATTGGTGATAGGAATACTGTAAAAGTGTGGAACTCATATTTAATCTGTACCCTTGTAAACGTTTCCCTCGTTTCAGGAAAAAGCGACTGGTTTGATGGCCATTGTGGAAAAGGAAATCAATCATTTATCTTTTTCAGTTCAGAAATTTTAGAACTTGGGAAGTTCTGTCAGTTAAAACTGTCGAAGAAGCTTACAGTGAACTGGCGAAGCATAATAATGATTTATTTATTTTGCCCGTGTCTCTGATTTCTGGTCGCTGATGAATTCGGCGAATGTTCAACTTTTGAAAACATCTCCCATTATCTTTTCGGCAAATTATGGTGGAAGTTCTTGTGGAAAACGTCCTTATCAAATCATTCGCGTAAGCATGCCTTGGAATGAATGCATATTGTTTGTATAGCTAGATACTCACCAATCGGGTTGTGTGATTTAACTTGGAGTTTTTTCTTCCTCCCACTGACCGTGTGGGGGTTTCCTTCCCCGATGCTGCGCGGCTTTCTGTGTAGACGAAATTGAAAACGGCTCAGAAAGCGATGAAACTTCTTGGAACGGAAGACTTCAAAACTGTAGATGACGGAATGGCGGAAGAGGTAATCGCTCCAAGGATTTTTCTTGTCGCCGGTGTTTCTGCGCTGCTCATCAATTTTTTCGCTTTGCGTCAGCTTCATTTTCGCTCGAGGTGTATTTTCGAAATGACGCCATGAGCCGTTTCTGTTAAGTACGAAAATAACGAAGGTGTTCAAACCCCGATACACTTCTCACACGAGATATTCTACTTGGAAAATTTGCGAATTTTTATTCGTTTGACCGTTCTTGTTTATTTTTGTAGGCAACGAGATGCTGTAACCACATGTATTTTGTGCTTCGGTTTTCTCGCTTGACGTCAACTGAATGATTTCTGGAAAACAGTGATGGAATTTACCTCCATGCTCGCCAAAATTTGAGCTCTGAAGTATAAAGTAAAAATACAAATTTTTAGGCCAAGTGAGACGTGAGAATTATTCCATTTGATTTATTATATCCTAGCAATGACTTCAGGAGCATTGATCGATTTCGTTACAATATTCAAGAAAATTACGTCGGGCGAAAGTAGCCGGGAAACTTCTTTACAATATAAAATTTGAAAAAAAAAGAGAATGGAGTAACGAAAATGATGAAGAGACTGTCGAACTTGTCATGATAACGGCTTCATAAGTTAAGTTCCCCCGCTTGCTGAAAATGGTTGAATAATTTCCTGGTTAAAATTATTTTCACGGTAAATATGATTGGCTTTTGTGTGTCGTGCTAAACTCGCTCGAAATCTGCCCTCCTGCGTTCTAGTAAGACAGAGAACGCATGAGTATAGGTTCCTGAGTTTGCTTCGCCTTGGTAAGATAATCGAAGGTTATTTTCTTTAGCAGTGTTGGACTGATTTTTGTTTTGTTTACAAAATGTCCTGCGTGTAGCGTGCATGTGAAAATTCCTTTGTATAATGAACGTGATCCTCAGACATTCCCGGAAACTTGTCTCTGTCATGACCGAACTTGAATGCTGACGCATAATGTGAAGGTATCAAGCCCTTTCTGTGGCTTTCTTGCATGAACAAGCAATGTTGTGGTTCCCGTATCTTCGAATGTCTGGTTCTATCGCTTCGGGGGTATTTTCTTTTTTTGGCACTTTCCTTGATTCCGATGGCTTTTGATGCTTCTTCACGTAGTGTTTGTTACCAGTGTTGGGTGCTGCCAATTAGTATGATGCTCATTAGTGTTGGATTCGTAGATGGAGCTCACGGTGAAACTGCTGGGAGATATCTTGCAATTCCTCTGGCAGTCGAAGGACCAGGGCGTTGAAGCCGATGTTCATTTACTCGCGGATGAACTCCTCATGCCAGTGGTTAAGCTCATTTTTGGGCTGCCCAGCGGAGATCGTTTCCAGCAAATTATGGTTAGTCTACTGCTTTTATAGATGAGACTATTGAAAGGAAAACCTTTGGTTTCCATCTTGAAAACGGATTTAGGAAAATTTAGACAGACAATTCGAAGGAGGAAGTATGCAAGACAGAAACATTTCAAGATGGAGATTATTTGAGACAGAAACGTATCTAGATAGATTATTCGACGCAGTTAACAACTTTTTGCAGAGTACTTATGTGTCAAGATGTTATTGTGACGTTTCGCTGATGGTTGCGCTCTTGGTATACCGAAAATTCTGAAGGATATTTTGAGGAAGTTGTGCACTTTTTCCTGCTTGTGGATGAATACTCCTTGCAATGCTAGTGATGTGATTGCGTAGATGTTTTTGACTGAGTCTTTTTCACCAGAAAATAGTATTTATCTTCATACCAATTTAGCTCCCTTTTTCGTTATACAATTTCTGTATCAACTACAATACTGTATTTTATTAATTTATTTTTTACAGGAGTTTCTTGTGGTCATCCTAACGTCGTTGTTGCGCCAGATGTCTACGCACCATTTCAAGTGCTTCTTCGACAAGATGAATGAGAAGGTGTTACAAGAATTCTTGATCGAATTACTAAATCTTTTCGTGAATCTTATCACGAACCCAGTTTTTCCGAAGCAATGGGGAGACATGATGATTTTGCGCAGCAGGTATGTTGGTTCAATACTCATTTTAATGAGAAGTGTTATTTGTAGTGCCTTTTTTTTCAGCGTAATTTTGAAGACCGTGAAATGCATCGGAGCGACAATGAAAGAGCAATTCCTGCAGAATATGGTGGTGCAGTTGTGGGAAAATTATTTCAAGTGTGCCGTCCAGTTCATCACTGATCCAGCCTTGCAATTGGAGACGTTCAATCCTACGAAGCGCAATAAAATCGTTTCTCGATACAAGGACATGCGGAAGTCAATGGCGGATGAAGTGAGGACAATGTGGTTAAGTCTGGGTAAGTTTACCGAATCTCTAAACGAAAGATTTCGAGAATATCTTCCTTCTTCCCGACAGAGATGCAGAAGATACGGTTCATACCAAGGATTGTGAAAGATTTCCTGGAAATGACGCTCGTTCCTGATCCAGAATTGCGTAGGGAAACGCTGCCGATTTTTTTCGACATGATGTTGTGCGAATTTTGCAGCCCTCCGCCGCCTGGGGAAACAGGTATTGAATTCACTTTGTACCGGTAGTCCTCGATCTGATTTGGCGGTGTGTAGAAGTAATCCAGCTTGTCAATTGGGGTAATTACTGGCTCACGGTTGTTTTTCCCCTTTTCCTTGGTGTGGTGCCTACCCGTTCTCCTTGTGTAGGATTGGGATTTGCCTTACGATCATCCAAACACAATTCAATTGGTGATGGGACAACCGCAGGTAATACATTTTTTCGCCTTTTGCCAACGTCTTGCTTTATTATTGAGTCCTTTCGGACTTCAGTCCACCGTTTGTTATTCTAATTTGTTCCCGGAATGGTTGATGAGGCTTTTTGGGGGAGTACGCTGTTCTCGTAAACCTATAGTGGGTAAGAAAATCTGAAGATGGAGGTTATCGAATAGTTTTATGTTGAGATTTCATGCTAGGAATTTTCGAAAACTTTGATTGCCGTAGTTCTTTATACAGTACTGTAGTAAAAAGGTTTCAGTGTTTGTCCGATCGGGTGTTGTAGTCGAATTTGCCGATTCAGGTCAAGTCCAACTGTAACATGATCTTCAAATCTTCGTTTTTCAGAGAAAATTCCAATCAGAGGAAGCTTTCGAGAATTCCATGATGAAGTTATAGCACAGCTTGATTGTTTGGTGGAGGGCGGAAAAGGTGATGATCACTACAAGCATTCATTCAAAGAAATTCTTGGTGATTTGTGCGCGAAGCACCAAGATTTGAAGAAAACGGTGAGTTTCCCCTCGTAGACTGGGCATGTAATGTTCCGGCATGAGTTACGTGAAATTCTGTAAATATTTCTTTTATCTAATTTCCATTTTTTTTGACAGGGTACTGCATTTGTTGAGACTGTTTCATCTTTGATGGAAAAGCTCTTGATGTTCCGTGGAGCAGCGAGCGAAGAGAGCGTGAATAACGTGATGAGTTGTGCGGAAATCCTGCTCGAGTTCTTCGGGGAAATCAAACAGTGGAAGCTCCACCTCAAGTACCTCTACAAATTATTTGACCTACACAAAGCGCACGGGAATCAGGCGGAAGCGGCGTACACTTTACTCGAACACTACCGACTTCTCTCGTGGAAGAAAAGTTTACTTCCAGATGTCCTGGCTCCGCCAAAATGTGCTTTCGACGCGAGAAGTTGCAAAACTTACGAGCAATTGAAATTCCGAGTAGCGCATGAGGCTATGTCACTTTTTGAGGAAGCCATGGTGAGTTGTCACATTATTTGAAGAATGTAATTTTTAAATGTTTATTACGTTTATTACTTAAAAATAAAAGTCAATTTTGATTAATTTTGATCTGACAGCATCCTTTTTTAAGGTTCTGTCAAATTTGAGGAATAAATGTTTTGTAAATATGTTGAAGTGAAACCTAAAAAAAATGAGGAAGATGTTATACTATGGTGCTTAAATATGCGTGATTCAAAAGCCGTGTATGGAGGGATTCTTCAGCACTGACAGATTTTGAGCGTCTAAACTTGGAAATGGTTAAAATGATTTTTATCGATGCTAAAATATTGTCGTGCACGGAAAATATTTCCTCCGTGACCTGTTACGCCATTTTGATGCTTTGATGAGCAAATTTATTGCAAGATTGCGTAATCTCTCAATCTTTTCAGATGTGGGAACCTGCGATTGAGATATGCAAGGATCTTTGCAAGCATTGTGCGGAACATACATTCAATTACGTGCAATTGTCAAATGTTTTGGAACGGCAAGCTGCGTATTGTAAGAACATTGTGCAAAAAGAACGTTTTCATGCGGAGTATTACCGTGTAGCGTTCTACGGACGAGGTTTTCCAGCTTTCTTGCAAAATAAGGTTGGAAGGCCATTGCGTTTGACAAAATCTGCCTACTTCAGTTTTCTGCAAATTTGAATTGATTTATAGGAGTTCATTTGTCGTGGATCGGTTTTCGAAAAGCTGTCCGATTTCCAAACAAGGATCATGAATCAGTTTCCGAATGCAGAAATAATGAAGAAACTGGACGAACCATCTCAAGAAAAAATGGATTCACCGTGTCAAAGTAAGCCGTCCCTTACGCCTTGGTCAATTTTTTGTAGAATGTTTTTTTAGTTTAGGCTTCATCTTCGAATGCTTGTTTTTTCTGTAAATGTGTTATATTTAATTGTATTTATTCCATTGTGAAGTGATACAGGTCAATCAAGTGAACCCTGTGGAGAATCCAAACCTTTTTGGTGGTCGAACTGATATTAACAACAAGATTTTGGACTATTACCAGCATAACGAAATCAGCAATTTTGTTTATTCGAGATTGGAGCGTAATGCCCAGGGTGCCACTTCGTCAAACGACTTCGCCCGTCTTTGGAAAGAGAAAACTTTTCTCGTCACGCGCAAAAAATTGCCTGGTAAATGTTCTTCCTGGAAAGTTCTTGTGTGACAGAGGATAAAAAAAATCATTCTGCAGGTATTACGGTGTGGTTCCCCGTAGTAGAAAAAACGAGAGAACTTCTGAAACCAATTCAGACGGCGGAAGAAGCCATGAAAGACGATAATCGGAAATTGACGGCATTAATCAAGCTTTTGAGGGATCATCAGCTCAATCGCACGCAGCCGTCCCCGAGTACCATGAATGATTTGAACCTCATGTTAACAGGGAGACTTGACGCTGCTGTCATGGGCGGCATGAAAAATTATGAGGAGGTGCGTATCCGGTCAAACTCCGCGTCGGATGATCTCAAGAACGTTTCACGATATTTTTTCAACGACTGAAACTAGAATTCTGCCGCCTAGATACGATATGAACTTGATGGAAAGTTAGAAGCCTCACGAGCGTGCGCTCGTTTTTGAATCATTTTTGTCTGTCTGTCACGAAATTCACAAAAAAAATAAGTTGGAACTGATCGGGGCCAACGCCTCTACTATCACGACTGTCAAATGACTTCGCATATTGTTGAGTAAAAGTTGTAGCATTATTTGAAATATTTTCCTCGTCACGAATTTCGAAAATTATATTTGTTTGATCTGGAAAAAATTTAGGTGGCTTTGAGTTTGAATGCAGCTGTTGAAAAAGACAGCTGCGAACGCTTGGGACAATTTTAGAAACGTCTTGGGGGGGGAAAATGTTACCAGAAAGTGGAGCATCAGCAGCTGAAATTGAGCATGAGCATTTTTCGGTTATTGTTTGTTTATTCTCCGAAGTTTGAATGAGGGGCTGCTGCTGCTCTAATGTTTGTATAATTTTAATGTTTCATCTGCATTTGCTGGCAGCAATTTTCATGAAAATTAGCGAAGATTGACCACGTAGCTCTTATCAGTTCTTCGTAGACATTTTTTTTCACTAGCAGGACTGAGTGTCCCCTCATGCACCCCAAAAAATAGAGCTTCGGTATTGAATCATGCGGTATTATTTTTTTATATGTAAGTACATGTTGATCTCATTCCAGGCATTCTTGACTGCGGAATACCTGGAAATGAATCCAGAAGATCTTCCGAATGTTGAAGCGTTGAAGAAACTCATCGTTTCCACGGTAGAACTTCTCGGTGATTTATTGAGGATCAAAGGTCAGTATTTGGAGGAAGGCATTCGGGGATGGTACGATCGGTTGTGCGAGTGCTTCTCGGAATTGCGCATGCACGTCTTGGCTGACTACCCAGACTTCGTGAGTGAATCGAGCACGATTGTGAGAAAAGTCCGATTTCGTCTATCTGAGTCAAGTTTTTCAATCCTTGTTCTCGTTTTCATCCTCTTTTAGCTCTCAGAATCGATGCGGAGCGCGGCAGTAGAAATGGGGAATTCTAACGTCAGCGTAGCGCAATCAGCACCCGAGTAAGTTTTCTTTTGCTGACGAAGGATTTTTGGATATTTTCTGTTTTCGCTGCTCGTCTTATTTACTGTGCATCGTTGTCGCATGTTGGAATGATTTTCTTGCTCGAGTTCTTTCGACTGAGTTTCTTGGATGCCCTGGTTCTTCTTTTCTGTCTTGGTATATATCCTATCTGGTGGGAACAAAGACTTCGGAAAATGGCAGCTACGACCGTAAAAGGCTCTCAGTGCTTCCTCGGATCTTCAAACGAGCTCACGTTTCAACAGAATCAGAAAGTTTATGTTCCCGGGGTTACTATGAGGTAAACGGCTCATAGTTCTTATAATGCAATTCGATTCCTTTTTAAATCACCACTTATACTTTCCCTTAGCTAATTTGACTGCATGTTGTGGAGCTTGCTTTATTCCTTCATATTTAGCTGAAGAAATATTTCCGAAGAAAAGTCTGGATGGAATCGCGAAAAAAAAAGCTTGATTGATTTTGGCGAAATTATTCTACACTGGACGGCTTCATTCTGTAGATACTTGTTCTCTAAAACCAATCGACGCTTGTGCCTTTCCTCGCTGATTTTATTCCCGTGCTTAGACGCAATCCTGCATCAGTGATCGCTTTCCGAGAAAAATAATCGCAAAAAATGAAAGACTATATATTTTAAATTTTTGTTGCAGCAGATTTGCGACATGGAAACTATTTGAATGTTTACGATATATATCTTCGATCAGGATTTCTAAATAAGCCTGATTTCAAGGAGTTAAATTCCTTCAACTTAATCCAGATTTCACTTTTTTTTTGAAAAAGGAAGACTTGATCGATTCTGTTAAAATAAAAAATATTATGACTCTAAAATTCAGATGCTATCGTAAAAATTTATATTGAACCAATCGAGTCACGATTCCTGCCTGCTTCCGTAAGTTACATGCCGTTTATGGAATGCGCAATTTACAGTTCATCGTACCTATTCAGAAAAATCACGGAAAATTTTTGACACCTTCCGACAATCTTAAGAAAAATACTGGTGCTTTTTCGAAAACAAGATGTGCTTCGTCTGCGAATTCAAACTTTATTCACTTCATGAATAATTTTTATCGATTCCGAAGCATAAATAACGGTACGTTTCGCACGCAGGGTGTCATCGCACACGATGAAATGCGGTCTTCCCCGGGTCATCATATTGTTCTAAAATTCCTTTTGCCGTGTAACCGTGGAAAAATGTCGCTGTCGTGTGCTTTGTACAGTTAGGGTGATCACTCGTACACTTTTCTGCTCGACTTCATTGAAATTTCTGATCTAGGTCGGTGAACACTAATAGACACTCTGGATCATGGATGGAGTCGCAGTCAGGCCAGAATATCGTGCAACGGGCTTCGACGAACGTTTTCAACACGCTCAGACGTGCAAAGCCGAAGAAAAGCATGTCAAGGATGACCTCGGGTGACGCTACATCTCACTGGTACGCGGTGGAAGGACGAAATAATGTAAGTGGAATTTCCCTCCTCCCGCCGCTTTACCGTGTCAAAACTTGAACGAAATTGAAGTCCTACGAGGGTTTTCATGCGATTCTAATTTAGTGAGGGTGGAGTCCGATTTCCATGCACATTTTAAATTTTTACAGTATTTCAATGGTTAAGACTCCGCTTTGGGCGATCGTATCATTCCAAAGCATTGTCTGGATGGTGTATAAACCTAGCGCATGCTTTTTTTTTTCGATCATTCGAACATTTATATATCCCTCTAACTTTTTTGCTACCATGCACGGATGAGGAAAAATAAATCTTCCGCCAATCCTTCATCCTTTATCTCCCCATTCCAAGCTTAATTTCGGAGTTGATCTTCTGGAGCTTCCAGCGAAGACTTAGTGCTAAACTCATCATATGAATACCTTTCTCTTCAACCTTTTTTATTATTCCCATTGGTCTTCAGTGGTTTGAGCGTAATGCAGAAAGTTGATAAGCAGGAATTTCATATTGGAAAAACCCCCCTAGAGCAATAATCGGCATGAATAGTTCTTCAATCCGATGAAAAAAGAAGACAAGAAATACTGTACCGTAAATTCCGAAGGGAGTATAGTGTAGGGTGGCGAGAGATAATTTGGACCACTTCTCGAACGATTCTGCGTTAGTGATAATCTGATAAAAACTGTACAGTATTTTGATTCTAATATACACGAACAATCTTAATGCAGTATTTTCTATAATTTGTTGTTAAAAGCGAAGTCCCAACATTTTCTAGCCATCGCGTATGTCTCAAGAGTATTGAAAATGATAAATTTAGGATTTGCGTGGAGCTGGTGATGTTTATTCTGAAGTACGCACGACCCACATATATCTTGTGCCGCATATAATTGGTTTTAAATTTCATGTCCTTTTCGTGAACAGGCCATTAGACGCAGATCAAGCATCGAACCAGAGGGAGAACTTTTACATCATGTAAATAATGTGCGGGCGTCATGCTGTAAGTGTTTTGATTCCTCAATTTTGTATTCCTGGTCCTAAAATGAATGTTTAATTTTTTGAAATGCAGTCGAGCTTCCAGCGAATGCTGCGCCACCCTTGCCGCAAAAAATGGGAAACAGAAACAGCGAAGGACAAATGTCGGTGAGTTTTCGTGAGGTTTTGCAAGCATGTGTGTCCATTTTCGGAGTTGTTCGTCATTTGAATTATTTTATGATTTTCTTAGGATAGCAACTAACGTTTCTGTTTAAATTATTATTTCCGGATTTGGAAGTCATTATTTTTGAATGAACTCCGTTTAGGATCAATTACGCGCTCCTAGAATCACGGAAGTGGACAATTTCAGGGATTATGAAAACAAATAACCAAGACATGCGTTTCTGACGGTGTGAAAGAAAGGGAAGTATCTGTAGCCTCATCACGGCAATTATGCGTTCGGCATATGTGTTAGGCCTGGGAAAAATAAAGAGAAAATTTGTTGTCCCCTCGAGGCAAATTTCAGTACTGTATGATACCGACCTAAAGGGGCAATAAAAAAACAAGAGTAATATCTTTAAGGATGCCACAATTTCTGTCATGTTCTGTCTCATTTCTGCAGACAATCATTGTCCTGAAGATGACACATTTTTTCTTGCCCCATTTCCTAGGCATCAGAGGCGAGTTCCAAAAGGCGAAGAAAATAAGAAATATTTCTTTTTCTTGTAAACATCGTTCACTTGAAATATTAGAGATATTATTAGGATTCTTCTCCGTTCTTTCACATTGTCAAACCTTCTTTAACAGAAAACTTCGTAATTACCTGTGTATGATCGATCATATTTCCCGAAATATCCCCCTATTTCCCGAAATATCCCCCTTGGTGGTTCTATTAGCACGGGAATACGACGGGATTATTACAATACAGCACGGCGTCGAGGGTATTTTAGATTTTGTGCGTGGTGAGGGAATCTATGGTTTTGTACATTGGCCTCTGTGTGACTATTCTCTCACGAAATTGTACGACTGCCTCTTTTCTTTTTTTCTAGAGCTCTAGCTCGAGCTCAAACCTGTGAAATTGCATGTGCACCGGAAAACACTTTTGGAGGAGGTCATCATGGGCATAGAGGGACGAGATTTCCGGAAGTTACAAATATTTTCTTCTTATTCTTGTTTTTGTCAGCATGTGCTTGATACTGCTTGAATTTTGATTGGCTCGCTTTTTCGATGGAATTGTAGCATCCCTAGTTCTGAAGATTTTTAGAAAGTGCCAAGATGTGGACGCATGTTTTGCTTTTGAAGCTGTTAAATTCAAGTTAGATTTCTTGGTGAATCCAACTTTGTTCTCGTGGCTTGAAGTCTTTAACTAGTATCTTCGTCTTTCTGTGGAGGATGTCGACATGCATTCTTCAAGCATTTATTTCCTCAAAAAAAGTTATCTATGACCTTCGATTGTGATTCTTGCGTTTATAAAACGAAAACAGTAGTTCAATTTCTTCATTGGAATGTATGAATTTCTAGAGAATCGAATTTTTCTTCTTTGATTTTTTTCAAGGATTAGAGTCTAAAATTCTAAATTTCCTAGTTTCGAGATTTTCCAGAAGCTATTGAAGTAATGTATGTGGTCTCAACCCTTTTTTTTCCTTTTTCGTGGTGGGAAAGAGTCTTGAAGGTTGTCAAAATCGATTGGTTGTTGGAGTTCAAAAGATGCTGGAAGTGTATCTTTCTTTTTGGCTAGATATCGGACTGTCGGGCGAATTTCAGCGCAAGTATTCTCTTGCCGCCGAAGAAACCACCGTTTGTCGAACATAAGGCTATCGGCGATTATTTATATTGGGATATGTGACGTGAGTTTTCATCTACCTCGAAGCACGCCCTACGAACAAGTGCCCGTATTACTGGGTGATACCCCGTTTCATGAGAATTAGATTATGGTTTTGAAAAATTTGATTTTCGCGATTCAATCTGGATTCCAGTCTTCAATTAAATTTTTTTCGGGAGTCGCCATTTTTGTAGCGTTTCAACGACGTTTCTGGATGTTCGGACCGTTTGAAATGAGTATTTATTTTGGCGGACCACCTTAAAAATCGTGGTTCCAAAAGTGGCATAAAGTTACGCGGCTTTTTTTTCGGCGTGATCAGTAAACGGAAAAGAAAAGCAATTCATGTGTCAAAGCTGTGGAATTCGGCTGCGAAAAGGATTCATTCCCGTTGGTGCCTTAATGTGGAACTTTCGAAAATTTTAGATGTATTGTACTGTATTCTATTTTTCTTTGATTATTTATTCTAGTCTCCTTCAGAATCAATTTCCGCCTCTTAGAATGTTGAGCTTTAAGTGGCTGCCTTTTGGAGCTATGGGTCAGTATAATTTCAAACGCGGCTGTATTCTCGTCACGTTGTTCTGTTGAAAACTAAGCATTTCAAGGATCATTCAATATGTTTCTATCGTGTTGAAAAGGCATTTGGTCCACCTGAAAGATTCAGCCTGACATTTTTTGTCTGAATTCATTCAAAACATTTTTTCGGTTTGTTTTGGTGATTGCGGTAATAATTTTGATGATCAGTCTTCCACTGATGTAATGAAATCTGAAAGTAATCCGCTGTTCTCGGAGAAACAACGTGCAAATATGTTACTGTTGCTACCATAAACGTGCTGTTTTATACTGCATTGATACGACAAAAAAAAAGAAACCTGCGCGTTTTTATTTATTGCGTGCTATTCCTCGTGCGACGAACTGTGACTAGGAGTTTTTTTTTAATTTAAGGGAACAAGAGTATCTTTGAACGTCCGCTTTTCGTGTTTGACGTCTTGCGTTCGAAAATATTTTTTGACTGGTTTCAACCTTGAGATTTGCGCGAGCAAACGGTGATTAAATGCTGAAATTGATTTTTTCGTGGAATCTTGATTATCGATTCCAAATCAAGACCAAGGTGTTTAAAAAAATTACAATCTATCTTGGTGAATCGCAGGATGGCGGGGAAAACGGTGGTTTTGCAGAAAATTCGCGCGTTTATGAAAGATCCACGGCATGTTTCTGAAGCCTTGCAAGCGTACATCATTCCTTCTACTGATGCCCACATGGTGAGTGTTTAGCCCAAACGTTTCTTTCTCGTTCATTAGTATAATTTTAAGTCGATTTTAGACGATTTATGTTTTGAAAATTGGTTGATCCGAGGTATCTGTTTTTTTTTTAGAGCGAATACCTTGCTGATCATGATACCAGACGACACTTCGTGACTGGATTCACGGGTTCTGCCGGAACTGCATGCATAACCGAAGACAGTGCTTTATTATGGACTGACAGCAGGTATTATTTGCAAGCGGAGGCTGAAATTAACAAGGATCTGTGGACCCTGATGAAGGACGGTAAGTAAAGTTTTTTCGACTTTCGCCCATGTGATGGTGAGTGGCAACTTTTTTGGTCTGCAGTACTGTGTTACCTCGAGAGTTTTTATATTTCCCGTATCATCACCATTTTTAGAAAAGTCCTGGGATAGAAAAGAAAAAGGAAGTTTTTTTGCGATTTGCATGCTTGCCTGTAGGAAAATACTTTTCTTTTGAGTTGTTGAATTGAGTTGGGAATAGAATGCGTGAAGGTGGAATCTGTACTGTAGTACATTAAATCTTGTGCAAATACTGAAGTTGTGATTCATTTCAAGAATTGCGAAGTAGATTATTTTTCTGCGGTGCTTGCTTAGTTGCATTAGCTGAAGATTATTTTAGAATGATTAATTTATCTGGGTATCCTTCATGTCTGTATTTATCGTGAAAATTCTATCAGTGAACTCGTGCAGAAACAGACGGACTTGACTTCTGATGCGGTTGTTATCACCAACTGCATTGGTGCGCAACTCAGAAGTGGCCAATGGCCACATTGAAATAGTAGAGCATTATGTGGGCCACAATGGATAAAAGGCACCGAAATGTACAATGCATTGTGTAATTCAAGAATTCCTGGGATGGTTGAAACTATTATATTTTTTGAAGATCAAGTTCAAAAAGGATTTCAGGATTTTCACTGTCAGGCTTTTCTCATCTTCAAACTTTTTTGCTGCATTTTTACTGATGACACTTCAATTTGTATCTTCATTACTTCATGACTGAATTTTTGTTGATGAAATCATAGAATTTAATCTGCATAACTGTTTAAAATGATTTGACTGAAGTCCAAGAAAGTAAGCAAATGAAAATTCTGAGTGATTTTAAATGTTGAGGATAAGTTTGGCTGAAACAAAATGAAAGCCTGTGTTTCAGAAAGTGGTGAACTAATGTTGAGAAAATATGGTCTCTAATGATTTCACACATTGTATAAGATTTTACAAGAATTAAAAAAGGGTCTACAGTATATACAAAGAAGCATTGATTCAACCTCCCAAAAATGAAATGTTCAATGGCCTTTGTGGGATTGTCAATGCCAGGATATGTGTCTGGCATGAAGTTTAGGTAATAGCAGGAGATTTTTCATTAAGTTTTTGTTAATCACTGAGCCACTAAATTCACATTTGGATCTAGGATAAATTTAAACTGGCAATTTGAGACAGGGTCAATCTGAGAATGAAACTTCTGGAGGCAGGGATTATTTGAGGCAGATACATTTTAAGGCAGGGATAATATGAGACATTTTGAGATAGAAGCATTTTCCAAAAGACTCTCGTGTACTTCTCCCTGATACATAATATTAAAAGTGCAAAAATGAACAAAAATGGCACTGATTGGTCAAAAAGTGACATGAATGAATATCCCATGAGCAAGCAGAGGTTTCTTCAGGTTTTTGAAAAAACCAAATTTTTCTTTCTTTACTTTCTCTCTTGATCCATTGCAATACAGTACATTATAATACACCTAAAAACATACCAGAGCACAATAAAACTATCACACACAAATAAAAAAGGGAATATCTATAACGAGGCATTTTAAATATTTATTCAAAAGCAAAACATCTGCAAATGGAATTATGCTAAATCCAGAAAGACAGAAAATTATGCACAATACAGACAAATGTTGTGCATACAGAGTTGAAGAGGTGTGGGGTATAGGAGGACAACCAGAAATTTTAGTGCAATTGAAACCTCCCTAAAATTCACCAACAATTTGGAGAAAACCAGGAAATAAGTGTATAAGACAAAAATATCTTTTGTGCAGAGTTGCTTTGGGAGAGCCTCAAATTCTCCTTGTCTCTAAATTTTCATGTCTCCAATTGTCCCTGTCACTAAATTGCCTTGGCTCAAATTGGCCCTCTGTTTCAAATTGGCCATATCTCACATTGTCCCTGTCTCAAATTGACCCTATCTCAAATTTTCAATCTCAATCGGCCCAGTGTTGAATTGTCTTTCTCACTTTGTTCATATCCCTTCACAAATGCTCTTTTACATGATGGTCTATTGATGTGTTACTATTTTTCATGCTTCAGAAAATTGAGCTACTGTATATCTTTACTCTATCAAGAAATGCAATTAAATGAAAAAACAACAGAACATGCTGGGGTAATATTTAAATTGCAAGATTCCAAACCCTGCCCTTTAATCTGAAAAACAGAACCACTGACATGGCAAAACAATGGGCACTGTTCTATTGGTCTCTCTTGTTGGAAGGAATCATTAGAAAATTTGTGAAGCCCTAATAAAATTCCTAACCAAAATAGCAGACTGAAGATGTCTAGAAAAACTTGCAATTTTTACTTTTTGATGGTCTTGAATTTTTGTTGGTGATATTCCATGCTGGCTTGGCGGGCCGTATCTTGGGCACCCCTGGCCTACTGTTATTTGAAAGTATATTTTTCACGTTACAACCCTTGAAATTTCGGAGGAATTTCAGTTCTACCGCCTTTCTGTGAATGAGTTTACTCCCTTGTACAGTAATTAGGCGCGTTGATTTTTTGTTGGATGTCGAGCTTGGCGTGCTGAATTATTTTTATTCACATGAGAATTTTGTTTACAGACCAAAAATAATTTGATGGTGTTTGCTTTGAGCTGTCTTCTGATGAAGCCTATTTTCTTGGTCCATTTTGTGCCCCACAGGTTTACCGAAAACACCGCCCTTGTCTACTTGGCTGTGCAAAAATCTTCCACCGAATTCAAGAATCGGCGTAGATCCAACTTACATATCGTCGACTGTTTGGAATGAATTGACAAAAAAGATGATTGTTGCGGGCCATTCTCTCACCCCGGTAGCTACCAACTTCGTGGACTTGGTCTGGGATCACCAACCGAGCGCTCCCTCAAATCCTATAAAGGTCTTGCCGAAGGAATTTTCGGGTTAGGATTCACGAATTTTTAATTTTTTGACGTCTGTACTCGTTTTCGTCGAGATATTTTAATTTTTAAATAATTTTTGACTTCGACAATTTTTGCATTTTTTTAGGAAAGCCGTGGAAGGAGAAGATTGTTGCTGTTCAGAAGAAACTCGACGAAGCTGGAACTGATGTGATCGTCGTTACTGAGCTTGATCAAATTGCGTGTGAGTATTTCACAGAAATCTATTGCGTCGAACCGCCTAAATTTGCCACCGATATTTTTCGTAGTAATTCTGGGTTACACTGCATATTTGATGGGAATTTGAATACTTTTTTGCAGGGCTGTTCAATCTTCGAGGAAGTGATATCACCTACAATCCAGTATTCTTTGCGTATGCAGCGGTTACGGCCGAATCTGCGCATTTGTTCGTCGATCCGGATCGTGTGACACCCGAAATTCGGCAGCATTTAACTGTTGTGGGACGCGAATGTTCTGCCCCCGTTTTCCTACATCCTTATGAATCTGTGAAGGATTTCGTTATGCTTCAGGCATGTCAATTTGGTGTACAATTCTGGTTCTAATTGTTCTGCGGCAGCTTTCACGAACCCGAAGTTTATTATCCAATCACACGCAATCGTTACGACTATTGTCCTGTAATCGTTACTTCTAATTATTTTGATGAGTCAACGCTCGTTTGGTAGACCTGTTCAGGTTCGATAAGGTTTGATTAAATTACAGTACTATAGTTCAATTGAGAATCAGTCGATGCCTAAAGGAAATTTCAGAACGTGAGGTCACTTCGTGAAGTGAGACAAATAAACGAAAGCGTTCTCATCGGAAGAGTGCCTCTCAGAACTATCCCGTTCGCCTTTTAGGTAGAGCACAAGAAAAAGGTATTGGTCCCGAATCAGTCAAGTGCTGCCTTCATGCTGATGGTGCCGAAAGAACTTCGAGTTCAGGTGGAATCACCGATAGCGGAACTGAAAGCTGTTAAGAATTCCACTGAAAGTTCGGGTGAGGTTACGGTTCTTTCCATAGTGATCCTCAAACTTGGACTTTTCGCAGTGTGATCCGATTTATTTTTTGGGGGGCTTCGAGTGTATACATAATTGTGAAGGATTCAATTTTTACAGGAATGCGGAATTGTCACGTGAGGGACGGTGCTGCGGTAGTTCGGTTCTTTGCCTGGCTGGAAAACGAGCTGGAAAACGGGCGTGAAGTGACGGAAATTTCTGCTGCAGAAAAATTGGCGGGATTTCGAAAGTACTTCCTTTTTTCTTTGAAGGAATTTCTGCAGGCTTTTCTTATGTTTCGTACGAATCCCTTCATGTTGCAGGGAGATGCAGTTTTTTGTTGATTTGAGTTTTGACACGATATCCGGCGTTGGGGAACATTGCGCCATTCCACACTACCGGTCGACCGATGAGTCGAATGTTCCCGTCTCAAAGAATTTAATGTACCTGTGCGATTCGGGTGCTCAATATTTGTATGTACAATGCTTCCATAGTTCTTGAATTTCAGCAACGTTTCTGAGGAATATTTTTCTTTCCAGAGACGGAACTACAGACATCACTAGAACGGTTCATTTTGGGAATCCGACTCCGTTCGAGAAGGAGGCGTTCACGCGTGTGTTGAAGGGACACATAGGTTTGGCGTCTATCGTCTTTCCGAGTAAAACGAAGGTATGATTACCGTAACTCAAGATTTTCATTAAAAAAATGACCGCACAAACTGAAGTAGAAATTTGTATACTGTACAATACATTGCCTATTAAATGTTGATCGAAAAATTGGGACATGAGAATGCAATTTAAGGCATGATCGTGTGCTTTTCTTTGAGCTCTCTAGATTTGCGCAAGGCATTGTAACTTTTTCCTAGCGGGCTGAAGATTATTGTGTAAAACTTCGTTTCCTCTTGGGTGGTAAACTTTGAATTGAATTGCTATCTTCAGCTTTTGCAACTCTTTGGGAACTCGGTAGTTCTGCACGCGAAATGAAAAACATGTATATTTGATCTAATGTATGGAAAAACATTCTATTTTTCTTCGTGAGGAAATCCTAAATTTCCGCGGGATTAGGAATAATGAGCATCATCATAGACTAAGCAGTTTAAAAATTGTTGGTACTGTATCCTGAAAGATTTGTTCAGTCTTCTCAAGTCCCCTATTACAAACAGTGTATCGAATCTCGGTGGGCGATGTCGTATCGGAAAATTAAATGGTTTAGAGAAGAAGAAAAGAAAGATGATGTGAGAATCAAGACGGAGAATTAGGACGGAGATAACTGTCTCCATTCCTCGCGATTGAGGGGATTTTTGATCGCAAAGCCAGTCTTACTGGATTTCTGGATGTCTCATGACTTTTCGTGATACTGCACAGTTGTACGTAAGGGACTCGCGGGTCACGGATTCTCTTAGGATTTATTGCTTTTGGCAATTTTTCTGAATTGAAAAGGCTTATTTTGAGTGTGGAGATGTTCTCGACAGAACACTCGCTTGTATTCTAATAAAAGTTGTTGCTTTCAAATGCGATCACATGCATTTAATGAAGGTAAAATGAAGATGGCAAACTTTTAAATTTCATGAATTCTTGTTTCTTTCGTGGCAACTGTCCTTACTTTATCTGTCATTGAGCTTGAGCAATTTTTTTCGATGCAGGGAGTGGCTTTGGATGGCTTTGCTCGGCAATCTTTGTGGTCAGTTGGCTTGGATTACGGACACGGAACTGGTCACGGAGTTGGTGCCTACTTGAATGTTCACGAAGGTCCTTCTCTAATTTCTCAACGGCACAAACCATCGGATCCAGGGCTGGTACCTGGAATGTTCTTCTCAAATGGTGAGTCCTACGTACTGTACTTATAGTCTGAAGACCAGAATGCATTTTATTCATTTATTTTTATTTTGAATAGAACCCGGCTACTATGAAGATGGAAAATTCGGTATCAGGATAGAGAACGTGGTTGAAGTCGTGAAGGTGAAAACGCCGCACAATTTCCAAGAAAAGGATTTCCTTGGATTTGAAACCGTGTCTTACGCCCCAATTCATATTGGGTTGATCGACCGCTCGTTGATGACCAAGGAAGAGGTTCGTCGTAACTTGTCACCACTTCTATTTTTAAGCGGATCAAATTAGTTGCCTTCGTTATCGCGGCGGTTCTTGAAAATTAAGGTTTTTTATTGATCCTAAAATGCCGAAGTGGATTCCAACTCCGAACGGATTTTACCCGAAGATAATATCAAGCTACTGATGAAACTCAAGACCCGTCTCTTCATTGGTCCAGTGGTTGATTTTTCCGAGTGTTAGTAATTCGTGATTCCTGCAGATTCAGTGGCTGAACAATTATCACAGGGATTGCCGACAACAATTGACCCCAGTTCTCCAAAGCATTGGCGATGAAATGGCGCTGAAATGGCTGGAGAAAGAAACGCGTGTTCTTTGAATGATCTTATCAACTCTTCGTTGGTTTTCAAGGGAAGCAATGGTCGAACATTTGGGTTTCTCCCGTATTTTTCGTGATTCCTGCGTCGTGAGCAGCAGTGATTTATTGATACATGATGGTGCGAACATGACCCTTGGGGATGGAATTAGTTCCTTTTTTAGTTCAACTAGCCTAAATACTGAGCAAATTATTCACTTTCTCTTTTTATTTTAGAATAAGCACGTATGGCGAAACTCGCGAGAGAGCCGTTTTTTGTGTTATCGGCTGGTGAAACTCAAGTGATGCATGTTTCATTCGCAGAGACGTCGTGCGAGTTGACATCCGCGTATAGTACAGGCTACTGGAGTGTCTGGGATTTGAACGTGATGCGAGAGCGACAGCGTGTAATGGTATGTACAGTACTGCGGGAACCGAGAACGTCTTTATTGGGCGCGTCATTTTCCTCTCTGAATGACTTATCTACTCGTATAATTCTCTTCAGGAGAGGAGGAAAACCGTTTAACCTAAGCCTGAAGCTTCATGGAAAATATGCGATATTTTCAAAGCTTTTTTCCGATGAATTTGAGTTACGAGTGATAAAACCTTTAACCTCAACAATTGCTTATACAGTGTTCCGAATCTGTTTTCTAGCATAAGCGTTGGAATTTCAGCTCTATTTATGTCAGCTAACTCTATTTTGATGCATTAGTCAATCCATAGATCCAACACATCCAACGTGTAATTAATACAGTAATTGTTTTCAAAACCAAATTCTTTTTACATTTGTCATACTGTAATTTATAGTTAACAATTAAAATCTCTTCACAAATATCAATAACCACATTTTTTCAGCTTTCAAAATCATCCTTATACAGTTGGCGTACACAGTGGGCAATTTCCGTATAATCGGGAAGAGGAGTCAAAAGAATACAGTAGTTTTGAACTGGTGTTGAATTTTTACTGTTTTCATTTTATGGATGTGCGGTATGTATTAAGACGACGTAAAAAACAATCTTGCACTCAAAGAATGGAAGGTGGCTGTAAATACTGTATCTCGCTTTGAAAAAATGACAAATATTTGTTCTCCGTTAAACAAAATCAAACATGGTCTACCGGCATTTTTTTTCGTATTTTCCTTCATTACGCTTTTGTACTGGCGAATTATAACGTTTGCAAAAGTGTTCGAACTTCGTAAACATAATTTCCGAGAAGTTTCAATATCACCAGGGAATGATTGAACCTGCATTGCTGTTCCCTGATTAAATTACGAATTTTCGCTCGACTTGCTCTACGAAATGTCTTTGTTACGCATCTCATCGTCGAGTCTGGAGATTAAAAAAGAGGGAAGGCGCGGCAAGCAGAAGATTCAAAATGATTTGATTCTTGAGAAAATTTTCTTTTTTTTTTCGTTAACTTATGACTCGAAAAAATAATGAAAAAATAAAGAAAATCGAGTTTGGAAAGCTGTTTACAAACTTCGGATTCTCAAGATTCTAATGTGGCGTAACTGCAGAAGTATCTCAGCCTAATGTGATCGTTTATGCAATGCTGGACTGCGATTTTGTGGGAAGGGCAATGTAAACTTAATTTTTAACTTCATGGTACGAAATCCGCTCACTTGGATACTTGTTATCGAAAGTTAAGAGTGCATCTACTCGCGCACGTCAATTTCTCAAGTCCTGCAAACGTCTTTTTGGCTTGTTATTTAAAGTATTACAGATAAACAATGCTGTTACTGTATTTCTGTGATGAAATGTACGGACTTATTCATTGCTGACATTCCTGACACACTGAAGCTACAGAGAAAAAAAAATTTTCAATTTACTTTGTCGGTCCTTCGGAGTTTTTCGTAGTCACTTCAAGGAAAAAGCTCATACACTTGGTGTGGTCAGTGAGTGTGACGCACTTACTTCGCGGAACGGGCTATCTTCACTCTAACTTCAGTGGCCTCCTAGTCCAAGGCAGTCGGATTTCCAGTCATCCGATAAAGCCTGAAAAAAAACCAGAATATGATTAACTCCCGTGGATTTGTTCCGCAGGTGAGCGACGATCCTTGCATGTACTCACGCAAGCTAGCCGACAATGAACTCGTTGCTTACTCGCGCCGTCATGGCTTGACTGTGTGGGACGACCGAGGTTGTAGAATTATGGAAATTCCATCCTCGCATTCGGGTTTCTGTCGACCCTCGGTGTTGAAAAATCTCGCGTTCCTTCCGGCCTCAGATTCGAGCGTCAAGTGTTACGACCTGAAAGCGCGAAGAACTTCATGGATTAAAGATTGTCAGGACTTCGTGGCTAACAAACTCGGACTCATCATGTGTGTGGAGGCCTTCGCTTTGCCGGATGAGTCATGTATGGTTTTTTGTGGATTTGAGAGTGGAACCGTTATTCTCCTTCGCGGAAGGAACAGTGAAGTTACTTTTGGAGGCTCAGTGAATGTTTCTCAGGAATCCAATCCGTGTTTTTCTCTTGATTATGATCCCGAACTTCGCCTGGGCGTGGCAGGTAGTTCAGACGCCGTCATCAGAGCGTTCGATACGTCTGAAGACTGTGAAATTTTACCCGAGTGTGTGAAAAAAGTGAAACTTAAGTGTGCTGGTGTGAACTGTATGAAACTCCGTTTTGTTGAACCGAAAATGCTGGCGGTTAGTTGTTGGGATTTCGGAGTGAGGATTTTCGATTGGAAAGCAGAAGGGAAGCTCCATCCGGTGGCTTATTGTCCGTTTCATTCAGCGTCAATTGAATCGTTGGCATTCTCTGGAACCCCGTTACTCAAACGCAAGAAGTTGTTCATGGCTGCGGGTTCCATGGATGGAAAGATTACTTTTTGGGATATATGACGACGCGTAAGATTTTCCGACGGTTGTCTTTTTGAATCCCTGAATACTTGAGCGATTCGACAACTATTGCAATAGACTGCTGGAACAAAAACGTGAATAAACTTTTAAATTTTCGGTGTCAAAAAAGGAACCTGAAGTACAAGAGTGGAAAATTAAGACGCTAGCCTTTTTTCTCGGAAAATTGCGGAACAATTTTCTATTTAATCTATCGAGCTTTTTTTTAAATACAACGTGCCCCTGCATTCTTCTCCGCCAAGTTTCGGGGAAAAAAAGGCGTTGAAGAAAGCATTTAAGATGACTAACCAAAAGTCTTCGACCAACATCATCTTCAGGCTCTGAAAATCTGTTCGGCACAATTATTCGTTTGCTGCTTGTATGTACCGTTTTGGTGCATGTTATGTTCTAGACGTGCTCTACTCTTCAGTGATCGGTTTTTGGCTTCGAGTGTGCGTTAGTTTTCCGGAAAGAGACCCATTATTACTTCTTGAAACGTGATCCTTGTCAGGGATTATTTTTGATACAATCCTATTAAAAACGTGCGCTGTGATTTTAGTGTCGGGAAAGAAAACAATGCGCGGATTTCGTTTTTTGCCGGAAAAGCGAGTTGAAAAATGAATAAACTTATGGCTTTTTCAATGCTTTTTAGAATCGTGAGTGTGCAACGGTGGATGGATTCGGCTTTGAATGAGGTGAGTCGTGGTGTCGAGTCCGGCGTGCCGTGATGAAGCTTTAATTGGGTTAGCTGTTGCTAGGCGCACAAGTGTGAGCGTATGAGCGAACGTGCTCTGCGACGCGGAGATATTGATAGTGCCGTTGATTGCCTGATCGCGACTGTGAAGCAGCTTGATCTTTGTGCGCGTCTCTGCGTCCAGGCCGTTGTCCTCGACTCTGTCGTGCTTCAGAGAGATCACCACCGACGACGCATTCGGTTGCTGAAGTGAGTGAATATAAATTTCAACCTATTCATATCCTCGGATTACGGCGATGTGAACGCAGAAATTTGATCCGGATGTGACGGGTTTTTGTTTAGTGGCTGAAGCTTGAAACCCGATCCACTTACTCCGAATGCGTGGTTGACTGTTTCAACTGACGCTGCTCGAGCTTTGCAGCTCAAACCTTGTATTTATTTCGTTCTGTGTGTGTGAAGATAATATGTAGGGCATTTTCGAACATACTTTCAAGCAATTAAGCTAATACAGTAAAATCTCGTTACAACACGCTTGTGGGGACTTCAGAAAAAGTTTGTTGTAACAAATAATTTGTTATAATGAGATTTTGAAAATTATTGACTGATCGGAAGATTTTCTTCAAATTAGACCTGCATATACTGTATCGGTTATTCGTCGCACTACGACCAATTTTCTCTTGCAGTGGTAGAACAAATGGGGTTCTTTTTTTACCGTACAAATGCTATAACTCGAGGATTAATTATCAAAACTCAAAATACTTCGTGGCACCTGAGTTTTTCTTTCTTTCCTAATTTCTGATCATCGCTGGAAAACCATTCCATCACTCTAGTTTTATATTCAAGGACTCTTCGTATTCACGTTTAACTTTCAATTTTTAATCTTCTTCCCTGAATTTCTTAGCTTCTGTCACTTTGAACGCATCTTATTTCGGAAAAATTTTTTTTTCCTGTTCCTTCTTCAAAAGAATCTCATTTGTATCGTCTGCCAGTGCAAAACGTCTGATAAGCGGACTTTTTGCCTGAGTATGTTTCATTTTAATGAATGCTTTCTAGGTTGGATACTATTTTTCTTTCGAAGTTTGACATCTTTCATTTCGTCTCAGGCAACTTCAGAAACGTCGAGAAGAGTTCCTAACATCCCCGGATGCTATGTCGGTGATGCAAATTAACGGGGATGATCCGGTGGAGAGTTTCGCATTTTTCTACCAAAAGCTTTTCAAGTAAGTTCTGATCTGGACAATACGCGTTCGTTAGTAATGTTTATGTTTCGATATTTTAGCATCCTTCAAGAATTGGAAGCGAAGACGCGTGATCGTAACTCGGGGAGATATGGAGACGGCAAAGACCAGGATTCTCTTTCAAGTGAAAACTTGCTTACGAAGACCGGGAAAGAATATCTGGAGAAATTACGGGTGAACTTCGAAAGGGTTGTGACGCAAAACACAGGTTTATCGACGAACAATTCGTTCGGGATCGACGGCCCGATTGGCGGTCGGGTTCTAACGCACGATAGTGATGGCGAGAGAGACGGGTTGGAGCTCCCGAGTCCGCCGGACCCGATCCCACCGCTTCCGGATCTGGAAGACCCGGATTTTGACGAGGTTGTGGCTAGTTTATCCGCCCCGGACCAGTTCTCGTGATAAGTGAAAAGCGATCTTCAGGCAGATGGCAACAACCGCGTCAGGGGACAACGAAATTCCATTGCTTTATGTTGTGGTAGTGTTCATAATAATCAATGTCGTTTCGTTTCGTGTGATGAAAATTCGTAGTTCCACGATCAACTCTGTGCAGATTTTAACGATCAATCGCTTCTTCTTCACTTTTTTACAGACTTCAGTGTTGTTACGCGTTGTTTTTATTTAAAGTTTGTTGGCAATGAAAAGATCGCGGTGACAAATCAAGTTTTGCTGATTGTATTTTAATTTGGAGGTCCAAGATGAGTTTGAGAAAGCGAGCCGCTGCCGAAGCAGCGGCTGCGAAAAAGGTTAGTACCCGAGTATTGACATGATGATTCACACGCTACTAGATCAACGGAAACGTGAATATCTTGAGGAAATATGCAAATATCGTTATGAAGCAAGTTTCAAAACAAGTAAGCCAGAGTGATTGATGAATAATTCCGTGCATCATCGCAACAAGAAGTATGTGGAACATGGGAAAGGGACACGGATCACTTTTGGTATTGTAATGGCAAATCTCATTTTGATGTATTCGATGATGTAGTATGTAATACTGTTTAACTGACGAAAGAAATTTTAGTCTGCAAATATATTATCGTATAAAATATTAAGACCTCATTTTTAGTAGCAGCATTTAATGGGATTGCATACTACTGAATTACCCAGTTTTCTGACCATCATTCAGATCGTGAAGAAATTTCTCAATGTTGAAAGAACATAAAACCAATGGGAACAACTCATTTTGAAAGCAGAAGTAGGTTGACCTTAGCAACGGGTTTTGAGAAACCAATAAAAGTAAGCTTTAAATTCTGTATTAATGCAACCACCTCTTCTGTTTTTTGTATTCATTCAATGTTGAAGTTCTAATCATCCTACTATTTTGTGAACCGTGGAAAATCTCTAAAGATATTTAAAAAGTGATGGGATTTTATCAACAGTTTTGATACATTTTTAGCACAAGGGGATATTGCTGGTTACGTTTTAGCCATTATGAGGAAATTTTCATTTCACAGCAAGCATTGAATTCTGCCTTGAAAAATTTCCGGAACTCATTAACAATGAAACGAATAACATTCTGGACTATCTATGCTGCTTGAGAAATATTTGATCTCAGGCGGAACTGAGAAAACTTTATGTGTTCAGAACTCCGAAGATCATTATTTTCGCAAGTCTAGCATTGCGTGAATCACCAGATATTCTGTACTATCATTGTAGATGAAAAAAATGTTCTCCGAAATGTCGAGGAACGTGGGGATTATAATATGTTTCCGTTTGGCAGGGCCGATATTTTCAAAACTTGAAAAATGGACAGGCTGAGCAGCTAAACAAGCTACAAACAAAGCATCAGTATGAATGCGACCTGCTGGACGACTTGAGGTTCGTTCACGTTTTCTGAAGAAAATAAAATGATATATTTAATATTCAATTCGGGTTTTTTTCCAGAAATTTTTCAAAGTCTCGAGCTGCGTTGGAAAAAACCTTCGCTGAGGTGAGCTGTTTACTATGCATTACTAAAATTTTATTTTTCGTATTTGATCGGTTTTTTTTTATCGGGAGAGTGTAATATTTAAACGGTTTTATTGCTCTCAATTAATGCTGCTTGCGGCCGAAAAGGGATTGCAAAAACTTACTTCGAGCTATCTCAGTAAGAAACTGCCGCCTGTACCCGAATTAGTCGGTACTTCTTCCGACAGCAAATCATCCTGGTATGTTTAAATATAGAGTGAACTTTTCGAGAAGTACGTAGGAAAGGAGGGGTTTTCTTCCTTTGAATATGATGTTTGAAGAACGGTATTTTTCAATGACTACCTAACATTTTCACCGTATTCGTATGAACAGGAACGCGTGGTCTGTTTGGATTTCCGTATTGGAAGAGAACGAAAGCATCGCAAAAGCTAGATTGGCAGCTGTTGAAGAGTTTCAATCTAAAATATTTGAGGATGCGAGGCTGGTTCGACAGGCGAAAGCCACGGCGGGCAAGAAAAACCTGGATCACCTTGGTGTTATTCAGAAGGAACTGCAGGTCACTGCTCAGGAACTGGACAAGGCGAAAAGGAACTACTTTGAGGAAGAGCATCTAGCGTTTGAAGCTCGAACGAAAGCGCACGACGCAGACGAGCGTCTGAAACGGAAGAAGGGCCACTTTTTCCAGAGCTTGTCATCTTTGCAGAAGAACAGTGCAAAGGTATATTTTATGACGGAAAATAAAGCCAGTTTTAAGTGCGTCAATACGAGCTTGAGGCAAGATGAATTATTTGCGTTCCTTCCCCATGAAAATTTGCGATGCAGAAAATCAGGGATTATTTTCCCCCACCTGCAAAATATTGGATAATTTTTCATATTTTACCGTGGTCTCAAAGTCATTTTTAATCCGCTTCGTTTATTCGGTGTCTTAGAATTTGGAAAAGATCAGTGCTAGGCTGTACTTTACGAAGGAGGTGTAATAATATTGTCTCCCCCTAATCCGTGAACGTGAATTTGAAAATAATTTCGGCGAAGAACATGCTCAATTAAAGCGCAATCAGACTCAACTTGATTGAAGTTTGATTCTTTGCTGAATTTTGAGAATGCGGGAATTCTAAGTCGTTAAATACCGCCTGTAAACCATATTCGGACTTGCAAGTTCGTGCGCAAGCAACAAAAAAGACATTCTTTTCGGTCAAATCTACGGAAGTGAGAACCAAATGTCAGCTCTCCTCAAGCGTCGAAAACGCACAGATATGATCCGTTTGAGTGAAGAAAATTTGGTTTTCTTTTAGAGAACTAGACATCATACGAACATTTCACTTTTGTTTTCCATTCAGCGTGAACGTTTGTTGGACGCTTCCTAGTGCGAAAGCATTTCGACCTCGTACTTCTATGCAGTACTACGGTAATTTTTAATGGGTGCAATGATCAAGATTTCTCTTTATGAAACTGTATAACGAAAGATTTCAATTGCATTCATTCAATAAGCGAGTCATTTCTTGTATGGTTCCAAAATGGCCCATTCGAATTTTTTCCATGATCTGAACTTCTGAAATGAAACAATAATTTCTGGTGAAAACTGTACATGTATGGAAATTGATAGAACCTACGTTGAGCGCTCAGTATTGAGAAAAGGTTTTGCGCTTTGTGGGACACGTTTGCTGGGTTTGGGAAGTTTTTCCGGTTGAAGAAATTGTAAACCGTAATCCAATTTTTTCCTTAGTTCACCGCAAAAAAGGAAGCATGCGACGAACGATCGACTTCGGCTAGGAATCAGTATCTTCTGCAGCTTGCCGCGTCAAACGCGCATCAGAAGCGTTTCTACAACGTGGATTTGCCTCAAGTGCTGAAGGCCCTGGAATGCGACGTATACGAAAAGATGCGGGAATACTTGAGTTTCTACACGCAGACAGAACTCAAGACGTGTGTTGCCATGCAAGCCGCGTTCACAGAAATTCAGGATCAGGCTAAAAGTGTAAGCGAATTCTTCCATTAATTCGTTTCAGAGCTTACGTAGCTAAGCTATATCGTTATTTTGCGGCAAAAGGAACGAAATACAGTACTTCAGTTACATAAGCACATCGTGTGATTTTCGCGAAAAGCAGAATGCAGTAAAATCCAAATTATCCTGGCTTGGATTAATTGTACTGTACCCTCCATGAACCATATCCGAATTTAATAGATTCAGAGTGGAAAAAAAGACAACCATGTCCGAATGTAATGTATTCAGAGGGGAAAAAGACAAGTTAAATTTCAATTGTAACCACTTCGATTCGCATTCCTCTGCTCAACTGCTTACACTGGCATGTCATAGGGTAACTCAACATTTTCCGGAATGTGTGTACTTCAGGTCATTGAAAAAAATTCCAAACCTGCCTACTGTTATCCGTTATATTTGCTGAAATGGGCGCAAGCACCTAACCAGGCGTCTTAGTTTGAGTCCCATTACTTTTAACGGAAAACTAATGCGCGTGTGTAAACAAAACAATCAGTAAACTTTTTTTTTCAATCTTATGTGTGAGTTCCTCACTGGAATTCGCTTATGTGCATTCAATTTGTGATTGTATTCGCTGAGTGGGAAACCTGAGATAATTTGCAACTTCGGTGTCTACTTCCAGATGACTCGTGATTACAATTTCGCTTGCTTCGTCACTTGGTTTCCTGGCATGGCTCCTTCGATTGAATATGACTTCGAGCCGTGCGATGGTGATCCAATCTCGCGGGTTTCTGATGAATACGGGTGTGGCGAATACATTGATAAAGAGGCTACGAAGTGGGCGACTCGCGTTGCAAAGGAGATGAAGGCGATAAAGGAGTATAATCGAAAAATTCATGCTCTACAAACGTCAAAAATTGACAAGGTATGTATCCAGAAGACCTCAGACTTCGTAACTCAAGTACTCTTTTTCTCTCTCGAAATTACATGTTCGCGAAATAGCACTATCCTCGGATGTCATCGCGGCATCCGCCTATTCTACCCTACAAAGTTTTTCAAATTTACATATTTTTGCACTAATATACGTAAAATGTGTGGTTTAGATTCGAAGGCGTGGGAAATAAACGTCTCCACCTGAATTCATTTTAAAATCTGCTCTTCGCTCCTCTTCGGGTATCCTGGATAGGACGGATGCGATGCGATATAATATGCATACATTTTTTGGTTAATTAAGTCATTGTGTGGCGACTAAAAAAGTTCTTACGCTGAATTCCTCTTTGCCATGTTGCAAAATATTGGCTAAACACGTTGCCGCAGAACATTTGTCTCACGGTGCAAAACTTGCATTTTCTTCGATTTCCATTCTTTCGAAAAAAGGCGCTTGATATATTTTTGGTCAACAGTATTCCTTTTTCTATTGACTACTTTTTAGGGACAAGATGGTTTATTCATGATGCCGCTCTTGCATCATTCCTTACCTTTCCGAAGAAAAATACAATAGAACTGTGTAACCTGAATTTTTGTGTTTTTAATTTTTGGAAAACGATTCTTTTTTATGTGTAGAAGGAAATGACGGATCAGGAGTCGACCGAATTGGACACAAAACTAGAGGAATTCAAGGAATTGCTTCGAATTGCTGAGGTATATCTACAGATTTTACTTAGCCGTTATGCCTGTAATATTGAACGTTCTGCATTTTTAGACTGCCAAGGAAAAAGCTGAAGCCCGAGTTCAAGTTTTGCGAGATGGCGAAGGTTTGTGTCAAATTTTCCCGAGCATTATTTCGAGGGGGTTTCTATATCGTAATTTCTTCACCTAGTGAATATGGATGAATATTTGAAGAAAGCGTTTACTGAGATGGAAACGCTAGGCCCAGAATTTCCGAGGTCTGGATCTCAGCAATCTCTTCAGTCTGAGGTAAGCTTCATTGTTGGAACATGATTTGTCGTTGTTCGTCAGCTTTGCATTATTACGTACATGCATTTTTCTTTTTAGAATTGTTCGAGTATTTCTTATGCAAGTCAAGTGTTCGGGGGTTTCATGTTCTTTGTACCGTAAACTGCTCATCTGTAATTCATGTCTGATGTGATTTGTTTTCTAGATCGAAGCGCCTGCAGATTCTTCATTTTACGATGATAACGAGGTTGAAGGAGACCAACCAGCAAGTTACGATCAGCAGCGTTCGATGTCAGAGTCGGAACAAGGAGACGAACCAACTCCTCCGGCAACATCGCAAACGAACCGTGAGTTTTGCTTCTGTTTTTCATTCTGGCTAGTATTGAACACCATAAGCATCAATTGGTAAAGCGAAGGAAAAAAATGAAAAATTCCAGGAAAGATTTTTGAGGCATGTGTTCGATAAGGTAAAAAATAAATTCTGAAGTACTGTACTCAGGAATTAATTCAATGCAGCGGCTGACCGCGAATAATTTTATTGATTCATATGGTATGACTGGAAGTATCAGTTTATTCCCGGGTTCCAGATTTGGGAAGATGAGATGCACTTCGTTTTCTGTTAATAAATTCACGCACATGAATTGTAAATATCTTTGTAAATTCATGTTATCTCCGTTTGATATCGTTCTTCCCGGCATGAAGGAGACCATTGTGAACAGTTTCCCCGGCGATCTGAACCTTGGTTTCGCTTTAATTCGTTTCCTCACTTTACTGAAGTTGATATTTTTCATCTTGTACAGTAATTACTCGAAGTTGAATAAGGACATGGCGATTTCGGGATGTTTGCGAGAACATTTTTTCGAGAATTGGCCAAAACGCAGTTAAAAAATTTTCCTTATTGAAGCGAGTTACGCAGAAATGTTACTTGTTTAAAAGCTGAATATACAATAGAAAGAACTGTAGGAATGGTTTCAGTTTTTCTGTCGCTGGGAGATGAGTGGTGCATCACAGTTTCGATAGGAATGCGTGCATGCCCAGGATCAACAAGAATCCAATGGTTCTGCATTTTGGGAAAACATTAGCTGAATGATCTTATACCTACGAAACATTTCCCCTGATGACCATAGAAGATTCCAGTTGAAAAGTTTTTGTTCTGTTGTTTACAGAAATTCAAGGAACGTGTGTTAATTTTAAGGATTCAACAATTAGGAATTTCTCCTGGTGCATGTGAAAGTGCGAGCATATGTTAACTTGTTGGCCGTTCCCTCTTTGCTTGGCTGAGATTTGTCGCCCTCGTCTTTCTTCTGATTTTGTCTCTGAACCTCTGGTTTCTTACGCTGCATTTTTTTTTCGTAATCTGCCTTCTTTATGCTTGCCTGGCGTCGCGGGAGACTCCTCAGGCTACAGTCCGTCCAATGCGAAAGAAAAATTTCTCGCGTCGTTTGAATGCTCGGGACCCCGTGAGTGTTGATACTTTTCTGGCCCATGTAGTTTTTTCTTATTTTGCATTCTTTGACGGAGGACAATCAGAAAATGACGTCTTTGTTTGATCAATTTTATTTTCAAATTCATAAAAACGTAATGCTTGGAATCGTATTTGCGAGAGCGGAACATTTCGAGATTAAATTCCTGTACACGGGAAACCGCGCTGCAATTCAACGTTTGTAACTTGTACATGATATCCGGGAAACTTTTTCAGCATCAGTCATCGTACTAATCTGTTAAAATGAAGCTAAATTTGAGTACATCATCTCGTGGAAGTTCATTTTTGGATACGCTAGGAAAGTTTATCTTATGGTTGAAGTAACTTCAAGAGACAGAAACCAAAATTCGATACCTGTATTTTATTTTTGGAGTGTGAGATTGAGTTCTTGAAGTTGTACAGTATATGGCATTCTAGACGGTGGATGACTGATATTTTTTCTTCATGCGCGTGTCGTTTTAATTGGGGAAAATTCTCAACAAATCGTGGTTGATATTAACCTCGTGGAAATCCCGAAGCCGCAAGTAGCATAATTTATGAATAACTCAGAAACAGTGGAGTTGCCCATTGTTTTCTTTTGAACATACGACCGATTTCTGTATTATGATAATGGATTGCTGTAAAATATGCTTTAATGAGGAATTTTATTCTGCCTTTTGCGTCCTGGGCAAACATAAGTTATTGTATTCTCATTGAGCTCGCTGCTTATAAGATTGTTCTCCTCTTACTAATGTAGTTTGGAAGAAGGAATTGCCCCTGGTTGTCAAAAAACGCCTGGAAAAACCTAATGTATGTGTATAATCGAACGTAACGTTCTGCTTGTCCATTTAGTTTTTATTTTTTAGCTATAGTTTAAATTTTCCCAAACTTTGGGAACTTTTTTTAGCTGTTGATGTTTTTTTTGCTTAGGCTGTGGCCGTTAGATGTTGAAAACTTCGTTCTTTCTTGGATTTTCTTGTAAGAGGAATTCGTATACAGTGACTGTATCAGAATAAAGGAAACATTGGAAGTTTTTCGGAAATTATTTTATACTGACTGCGAAGGTGATAAAATTGCTGTCCATCTGATCGTCCACCCAGGGTTTCTGTCGTTATTTTGGTTGTGTATTTTTTACCACGAAAAAATCGCTTCGATTGCATGCCGATGGTGTTGATCGATTAGAATTACTGTATGTGGCCTCGATTTGCTTTGGCAAACTTCATGCGTTTCGACGCGGATTTTAATTTTAAATTTCCGTAGTTCAATACCCGATCGGCGATCCGTTGGCAATGGAATGGGGTGATGACGAAGAGGAAGAGCCGATCCCTCAACCGCTGACGGAAGAAATCATTCCTCAAACTGTCGTCAATGGTGGTCCAGTTGCCGCTCCAGGACCGGGTGTCAAATGTGTCGCTGTTTATGCGTACACGGTAAGCAAATCGTTACAAAATATATTAAAAAAAATTTCATATCTCTCAGCTCGGTGAAAATTCCTCGAGAGATTGGATTGTTGTCGAGACATTTTTTTACTTCTTTCTTCTAATACCGGTGGACTTACCTTAAAACGTTCTTGTCTACAAAGATTTTCTCTGTTCAGTGAAATCTTTTTTGGTCCTATGGGGTTCTCTCCCAATGTTACAGGCGTTCTCTGCAGCAAAATTCTCTGAACAACGAATTTTTCTGGTCACTTGAATTTCTTTGAAAGAGCTTTTTTCCTTTCTCGCAAACGTTGAAATCCATTCGCATTCAATTGGATTATCTGAATACAGATGGACTCTCTCCACAACGAATTTTTCTGCTCACTGGAATTTTTTCGAGGAGAGAGTCCATATGTTTTCGAATATTCTAATTGAATGCGAATTGCTTTCAATGTCATGAGATTGGGAAAAAGCTCCTTCAGGATTGCGAAGTAAGATGAATTGAAAATTCAACAAAGTGTATTTAAAAAAGGTTATTCGTCCCCGAAATGGATCGAATACCTTACTGTATTTTGTGTTGAATTTCACGTACTCTCATAATAATGCCAGTCTTCTTAATTCTCTAAATCAATTACCAAGAAGTGAGTGAATGGTTTTTTTTTTTATTTCTACCCCTGTATCTGTTTGGTGTATCAACCAGAACTTGCGAGAAGAGTTTAAAAGTCCTATTGGTTCTCGTGCTATTCTGAGACAATTTATTGTACGTACGTACGATCTGCTGAAAATTAATTCTTAGGACACTCTCGTATACCCTAACGCAGTTTACCCGTCCACTTTTCCGATGACGTAAAGTATTAGTGTTATGTGAATTGGTGTCATCAATGAGATCATTCAAGTCTCATGCGTCAGGTCTTCTCAATTTTTTTTTTACCCTTCACAAATTTTCTTGGAAGTGTTGATCTCTAACTTTTAAGCGTCGTTCGTTTCTTCGATCCAGGCGCAAAACTCGGACGAGTTGACGATCGTTGAGAACGAACAATTGGACATCGTGGGCGAAGGGGATGGAGAAGGCTGGGTTCTGGCGAGAAACTATCGCGGAGAAGAAGGTTTCATTCCGAAGAACTATGTGGAACCCGAAAGTACGGACGATGGTGAACGTACCGGCGGAGGTGGATCGTCGTTTTCATCTGTCGATTATACGGTTCGCGACGATAACGCGGTAAACAACAATTACGGCATGAACGGCAACGCCATTCTGAATAACCGAGTGGATTTAACTCAGGTTAGTGCTCAGATGGAGTTACTTGTCTAATTATGATCTGCGTGACTTACGGAGTCGAAAGATAACCTTGATTTCTTCCGAAATTAGCATGAAGAAAGACTAAATATGATTTTTTTTATTCCTGTAGAAATTACTAAGATGGCATGACATGAATTTATGCATCGAGATACTCAAATCCCACATTCTTGTAACTAGCATAATCTTCTGTCATTTTATTAGAAAAAAAGCACGACCTCACCCAATGTTTCATTTCGCCAATTTATTAGGATGGAGATTGGTGCTGTGCAGTTTACGATTACGAGGCGACGTGCAAGGAAGAATTGACTTTTATCGAGGGAGCCGTGATCAAAGTCTTGAGGAGGAATGTACACGACGAAGACGATGGCTGGTGGGAAGGCGAATGCGATGGAGAAGTTGGCCTCTTCCCGTCCATTGTCGTCGAGGAATGTCAGCCTAATGGAGAACTTTACGTAAGATACTTTGTTGATATCTGACTGTCCAAACTTGTCCGAAAATCGCGCGTTTCTTGTAAAGCTTTTCAAATCTATGCGATTTCTCAAAGAGGTCGAAGTTTTCGTTGTGTTTTGTAGGTTCGCCAGCAATTTGAGCAATGTGTCAGACGAGTAGGGCTAGGAGTTGAAAGAAACTTGATGCATTATCTGCTTAAAATTGTTGAATTTGTCGATAAGTGCTGAATTTTGTCCATTTTTTAACCAGTCTAACCGTCGTTTCACCGTGTTCATTCGTATCTGAGTACTGTTGAATATTTGGCTTACAGGACTATTGACGTATTGTTCATAGTAAAGAAGTTTGACGTTAAACGAATTCCTCACTTCTGATCATTTGGAAACTGTGCTAGGCGATCGAATAATTACCACCCTAGTAGTTAAACTAGCAGTTGGACTCCTCCAAGAATCGAATTAAGGGTCAGGTTCTGTAGCTTATTTGCCTCTCGCGTACCTCCAGTTGAAAATTTTCTTCACTGAGGTCGAAAGATTCATTTGTCTAAATCCTCCAGATCCTTGTAGAAGTTGAAAAACAGCGTAAAATCTTTCGTTTTGTTCTTCGTGGTGCAGGAATATGACGAGTATGACGAAGACGACGATGTCGATGAAGACTTGCCGACTCCGGATGAACCCGCGCCTGTATTGGCGTCCCCACAGGAATTACCCGGATTTCTCCTCCCTCCGCCTGAGGGGATTATAATTACGCAACCAACGCCGGACGTAGAACACCCTCCATCCACTTTTGGAGATCATCCTGCTGCTCCAGCAGAATCATCTGGTGAAGTACCTTCGGGAACCGCTACAGATGAAGGTGCTGAGAAATTGAAAGAAGGTAAGCTTCATCCTCATCTGCGCCATGAGAAAAAAAAACTTAGAATTTATTTTCGAAAGAACAGATTGCGTATTTAGGTGAATGAATGCTGTTTCAATGACGATACTGCCTAGCCATTTTGCACGACGAGTTTTCTTCTAACGATTGATGAATATTGATATTCATTTGAAATTGAAGAGTTGCTCAGTTCGATTGAGAGAAGATTCTCTTGATGAATTTTAGGCATTAAAAATGGGAGTATCGAAAAAGTTACAGAAAGGTGGACGAGTGAGGATATTCGTGCCTAATTTTGCTGATACGCCCGCAAAAGTCTCTCAGAATCTGTGAAGAAAATGTCGAAGGTTGAGAGAGATTTGCTTGAAGCAGGGAGTAAACGCCCCGTCAGTCAGGCTGATCTCAAAAAACGTATTTTTAATACATTGAAAAAAAAAAAAATCATGAATGTCACAGTGGAGGAGAAACATGTGCAGAATTCCTAAAGTTATTTCCTGAAAACATTGTAAAAAAGACAATGCTTTCATTTTGAAATTTTAATGCTTAAAACTGCTTTAAAATCTGCCATACTCCCCATCTGGCATTTTGGGACGCTCCTTTGTCAGGGAAGTAAAAAGATTGATGAATCTTTGTGAGAGTGGCAATTTGATAAAGAAATCCTCTCAATTCCGTGATGTCCTGAAAAAAAAGGAAAACGATTTTCTTCAAGATAGATTCCTCTGTGAAAATATTGATTAGTATGATGCCGAGATGTGGGGAAAAAGGTCACCTAAAAAAGGTGTTTTCGGAACGATAAATACAGTATTTTGATAAATTTTTAAGATTGAAATGTAGAAACTATAGTTTACCTTAAACTTTGTTCCACTTTCGATTGACAAAATTTGTCAATCGAAATCGAGCTAGAATAAAAATATGAAGTCATTCAGAATTCCCAAAAGGAAATTTCGGATCCAACCTTATTTCGAAAATGGCAGACCGTATGCAGAAACTTGAGTCCTGTGCTCTGCCTTGTTTGTGCATCTCAAACGTGAAAGAGAAACATTTTATTTAAAGTTGAACGATAAAAAGCTAAATTGGATTGAATTAAAATACAGTACTGTATATTGATCATCTCTGACGATCACTTCTGGTTGACTACGAAATTTTGAAAACCTTGTCGTAGATGACGGATTTCTCTTCATTCGGTAACTTTTTGGACACCTGTGCTTCGTAAGCGGAAGAATGCCCAACGTGATATTCAGTACATGTTCTGTAAAATCTATTGAGCTTTTGATAAGTTTCCAATGCTTGATTGAGCGAGGGGTTTATTTAGTTCTGTCGAATGATACATCTTTGGACTGTGAATTCTCTAAGTGAACGCGTCCGACTTGAGTTTCCCAGTAACGAATTAAATTTCGTTTCAGTTCTACAATGCAGTACAATCCCTTTCGATTTTTGAATTTCGAAGCCATGTAAAGTTTTCTTTTTTCTATCGGAGTGAATTGTCCTCGAATTGGAATTTTTTCCGTTAGAATTCAGCAACTTTGAATTGAGTCGAAGCATCTTCGTAAGTTATCTATTTGTGGCCTACGTTTTGGGACGGTTTTCTGTTCAGCACGCGAGCCGGACGGGCCCAAACCAATTTCGTATTCGACGATAGTCCGCGGGTTTGAGTTGAAAATGAATGAGGATCAACGAAAGCAGTACCAGGCCCAGTTCGATGGTTCGAAATTGGAGGAAGGTGAGATCGGAGTTTGTGGAGGAACGGAGAACATCATCACTCCCTTTTACCCCACCCTTCTTTTTATAATGCCTGACCATGAGATCGCGAAGCATAATGGCTTTTCTTCACGTGTTCAGAATATGAATAGAACTGTGGTGATCCGGTGATGTGACTCTAGCCGTGATTTTATTCATCATGCTTCATTTTCCTAATACTATGCGCCCCGGAACTCGTTTTTCATCTTAAAAAAAAAAAGAAAACGCGGGGTTTCTAGAAAAAAAGTTGAAACTCGAAATTTTTTTCGGAAAGACGATCTTTTGTGGTTTTTGAAAGGTTATTCATCAAAGCCTTTCCTTTTATTTTTAGAAATTGATGAAAACAATTGCTTGTGCATCATTGCAATAGGTTTTAAAATCGGTTGAATAAAATATTGTAATATATCAACTCATTTCTTATAGAACAAGAAATATTTTCAAAAATTTTTGCTTCACGTGCTTTATTTCTTAGGGTTAATGTGAAACGATAAATACTGTGTGTTGGACTTTTTTTCTCTTTAACGCCCTTATAGTCAACTCGCGTGTATCGTGTAATGGATTCCCATGATTGTGTTTGATTTTGATGCTCATATTGCTCGTATCATTTTGTAAATGTTTTAATACTGTTGTTTATGAAAATCTAATTTACCAATTAACCAGAGCTTCACGGAACGATGTTCTTGCAATATTTCTGCCTGGGGCCTCGAAAAATTGTTGTGACGGGGATCTTCTGTTCCCTGATAGCGCCGTAATTAAAAAAAAAGCATAAGTTCAATAATCCTATATGTTGATGAGCTTTTCTATTTAATTGATTAGAAGCATTCGAGGTTGATGCGTAGGAGGAGTTTCTTTTCGCGTTCTAGTAAAACGCCTCTTTTGGATAATTAATGATAGTATTTTCGTGTTTCCGATTATTTATTTTGAATTCATGAGTTGAAGTTTGGGGTGGGGGACCCCATCACGTTTGACCTTGTGTGTTTTCTGAGAGACCGTAGTTCCTGGAGCCCCTGTCCCCATACCGAAACTCCGAATTTTCCTGCTGTGGAAGGATGATCATTTTTACTCTTGTTGGTCTTACCTCTGTATTTTCGCACCTTGACTTGCATGCGCTAATTTTTTCTTCGTCATTCTGTTCCGAAAGCACAGTTTATTTTGAGTACATGTATTACACGTGTTATTCGGCGTATACATGAAATCATCATATTGAAGTGACCTTTTCTTTTCCTCACACGCTGCTCAAGCTGGCGAAGAAGGAGTTGAAACTGACGTAAGTTTTCTTCGAGGCTCACAATTACGAGTTGAACCTCAATAACTCGAGCCTCCCGAAGTCGAACACGTCTCTATGTTGAATTTTTTCAAGTCATGCCTAAATTACCTACAATACAATGGACTAAAATACTCACTAACTCTTTGCCTTTCCTTTGCAAACCCCCAAAACTCGAAGTTTCATTTTATTGATTATTTTATTCACGAGGAAAAGAGAAAAGCAATAACAATTTAACTTGGCGTTCTTTGAAAGGAAGTGAGAGACTAATTTGGCAAATGAACCCAAGCCTCCAAGTTCATTTGAAAAGCAATTTGAGGCCCAGAATATCACCAATTACAATTTCCTAATTTTTTCTTTCCTCCCAAAAAATGTAGTTTCCCTAACTCGAAACGTTTCTGAGTCGAATTTTTGTGCTGGTCCCTTGAAGTAAGATTTGAAGAGGTAACATTTTAATTATTGTTTCAATATTTTCTGAATGTCGCGTGGGGCAACCTTTGGAATACAATGCTGTAGTGTAAAATTTATAAAAGAATTGTACATTTTTGGCTGCAGAAAGTTGTTTGGAGCTCCAATTTTTCGATAACGCTCAAACAATGTCTTTGTCTTGTAAAGATTCGTATGATCCGGTTCATTTTTTGCAGGGAAGCGGAAGTTCGGTGGGTCACGATTCACAGGAAGAGACGTCGTCAGTCATTACTTCTGTGGAAGCCCGAGATTTTTGCGGTGGGCTACAAATCGCGTCGATAGTTGTCACAGCGGCAACTCCGATGGTTGACGACGACGAATCTCGCGCCCCTGTTGCAGCCGTCGATGATGATGACGATTCCGGCACTGTCGATAGCGTCGACAGTCAGCAGAAGAAAGAGCCTGTCGATGCTAATGACGAAGAGCAACGTAAGCATTTTATGTCCGCCTCAGATCAGACAGGATAAAAGTAGTTTATCAAAACCCAGATATTCACGTGGTGAAACGAACGTTTGTTCGTCAAATCAGATCCTTGACTGAATTCCGAATTCCCGAGTGTTTATGTTTCAGAACTCCGTTTTCAGGTGCATAAAGTAACACCCGAAGAGAATACCGGTTCTTTTTCAATTTCATCCAAACAATTGCGCTACTAATTCTTGTTCTCTGGGTTATATCCGTATTGAAGGAAAGATTTCCTTTCTCACCTATTATCGAGAAATGCATAGGAAAACTAGGAAGAAATGTTCGATTATTGTTGGAATATTGAAGTGTGATAGGTTTTCAGGCTTAAATGCTGCTCAGTGGAAAGATCAGCGAAGGACTCGGTAGGTCTTGCTTTCTGAAAAGTTCGTTATTCTGAAACTGAAGAATACCTCCTATGTACCACTTACTACCACGATTTCTGTGAATATGGAAAAACTAAATCGGAAAGATTTTTATAAATCTGACGAGAAATTTTGTGAAGTTTACCCCCCCCCCCCTAAATCGTGGAAAATTTCCACAAGGCCCTTTGAATTAAAATCACAAAAGGAGGCAAAATCGTCTCTTTTGAAACACGCTCACAAAAAATGAAATAAAGCACACTGGAACCATCTGTAGCGATATATCTGCTGGAAATGTTCCTGAAAGGTCTGTCGGAAATATATCCCGTCGAATATCAGATCTCCAAAGATAATGTAAGAATTTTTTTTACAATTTTTTCTTCACGGATAGTTCTTTTTTTCATACTGTGAAAATTTGCTTCTTAAGCAGTCAGGTCATCCCGCTTCTGGAATATCTGTATAGGTTATCTCTGGATGTAAACCCAAGTTCCTTGCAGGTCACGAAATGCTTAAAAATTCCGTTTTGGGAGGAAACGCTGCTGATGAAAAAATCCACTGAACGTAGGCTCTCTTATTTTTATGAGAGTTTGAATCCCTCTGTCTTCTGGTTCTCATAAGACTCTCGATTTACGGGTTTCCATCATGCTGCAAATAATTTCTCTCAAATACTTCCGAGCATAATTCCACAAAGATGTTTGTCGTGAAAAAGGGACATTTGGAACGTTTCCGGTTTCGGACTACATGTATTCGTGTGGGGTGGAAATTTTACCTACTTGAGCTCGTATTTTTGTATCATTGACTTCAGCAGAAAAAACGGAAGAGGTGGATCGGGTTCAGATCGTCATCGACTCGCCGACTGAGCCTGCAAGAGAGGACCAATTTGAAGGGGTAGATGTGTCGGTGGCGCCGGAAGCAGATAAGGATAAAGAGCCGGAAGTGGAGCCGCCGTTGCCGCCACCGCCTCCGCCGCACGTGGAAGAGCCGCAGGACGGTGGCTCGGGTATTGTTGACTTTGAGACGTTTCCTCCGCCAAAGATGATGGACGATAGTTTGGAAGACGAGGAGGAAAAGAAGCTTCCCGAGGAGTTGCATCTGGATCAGCTCAAAAAGTTGGAGCACATTCAAGAGTCGAATGCATAGGAAGCAATTCTTATCGGTTAATTTGATTAGGGTTTGTCAAGGGCGGTCAGAACTTTGCGTCGATTTAACCTTGGATTTTTATCATTGAAGCTAGATGGCCTGCTAGAATATAAAAATTAGATTTTAAACAAAAAAAATGCTCCAAACTTTTCGTGGCTACTTCCGTAATTCATTTGGGATTCGAGTAGTTGTTTTAAGATGCGGAATGGGGAAGGATTTTTTTCGAGGTCAATAACGCACTGTTATTTTCATGGGTTGAAGTCGTCGAAATGTTTTGAGCGCGCTTGGCCAAACGGTGTTGATCTTCTTCCCTGTGACGAGAGTGGTTTGTTGTGTTTTTACCTATCGTTCTCTTGTAAATTCTTGACAGTTGAAATCTTTGTTCGATAGTTTTCCCGCTAGCGGTAGATCCATATTCGAATTGCGTACTTGGGAGCCAGATCGTATGTGGTATTGATTTGAGGATGTAAGACGAATTTTGTGTCGAACGCGCTGCGGATTCATTTGTTTTCAGTGTTCTATATAAAACTGCCGATCGATTTTTTTTTTCATTTTAAAACCGCTACGGTTCAAGCGTACAGACAGCTTTTCAAAAAAAGATTGCATTCCTAGCATTGAAGAAATCCTGGAAACATATTTCGATTGAAAGGCGTTCATCCTATCTTTGCGCAGAAGAAAAAAGCAGGAATTAATTTTTCTTCTGCGAGGCGCAACGTTGTATCTTAAGCGAGACTCGAGCAATATTGTCGATATTCGTCAAGTCAAAGAAAGTTGGACGAATTCGGGATCGGGTTGACGATTTCCGCTTTAATTGTTAGCGAAGTTTCCGGGAATCATGTGTATTACTTGTTGCGGGAAATCGAATTCATATCTCGCGATCGTGTTATTGGCCTACGAAAGAAGGGAAGCCATCGGTCAGGGTGTTTCCTTCTATTTCAAAGGCCCATTTCTCTCATTATTTTCGCGAGGAAAAAATAATGAGGGATGTACTGTTGAAAATTATATTCCGGTGGGGATGAGTGACACGTTTCTTGTGATGCGTTCTCGAATGTTTTCCTCGTGCGTATGCGATGATTTCCTCGAAGGCCTCTCGGTGTCATGCTGCCCCGACTTGCTGCAAATTTATTGAGACAGTTTTTGCTTTCGTTTTATGTTTTTAGCTGCTGCTCGTCAGGTTCTTGATATTTTCCGGAGTTTATTGCACCTCTTTCGACTCGGTGTGCATTGTTTATATCATCACGTTCGATCCGTCGCGTAGCTTTGATTCATTTTGAAGTTGTCGAACGAACGTTCAAGTCAGGTTTAATCGCGGATCAAATTCATTTATCGGTTAAAAAATAAATGTGTAAATGAAATCCCGCATTGCGTCGCTTGCAGAGCTAGGTGGAATAAACGATAATCTTTTGATTGATTTTGTCAATCGTTCATTTGGCAGTTCCATTGGTTCAACTCTTGTCGATTCACCTAAGTACTTGGCTTTTGGCAGTGTCTTCAGTGATCGATGCGAGCATCAAACTTCGAAGAATTAGAATTCTGAGCATTCCGATATCCCGTATCGCACGGTGAGTTGGGTTCATCTCCTCTTCATTAGAAAGAATGATTTTTTATCTCTTGGTGAACTGGTGGATTATTGAGACATTTTATCGTTAGATGATCCTGGACTTGCGAAGTGATACGGTCACGAGACCGAGTCAAGTAATGCGTCAAAGGATGTCTGAAGCTGAAGTCGGCGATGACGTGTTCGGCGATGATCCCACGATCAAGAGTAAGACGTTTTCTACAATTTTTCGTAAGTTTTGCTCAAAAGATTCCTCTTTTTTCAGAACTCGAGAGAAAAGTTGCTGAAATACTGGGAATGGAAGCCGGTTTGTTTGTGCCGAGTGGAACGATGGGAAATTTATTGGCAGGTGAGGTTTCCAAAGCTCGCACCGTTTTATAAATCGGGAGCTCATGTGGAAATGCGGATGTTCCAGAAAATTTTCAGTATTTTTGCCGAATTTGATAGCCTAGGAGTTTATCGTAAGTCCTGCAAGTCGCTTAATTTCAAGCTGGGGAAACTTGGTAGTCTATCTTCAGCTTACAAATTTAGAGGCAAAAATATGTGCTTTTTCCATCATAACGTCATATTTGAGTAATGGATTCTAAAAAAAAATAAAACTAACGAAAAATGTTTGAATATAAGCACTGTAGTCATGTTCTGTGTTACAACTAATATCACTTCTAGGCTGATCACAAAAATTTTCAGAAATCTCTTGTACTGTACCGTTATTGTCGTAACCTTATTTACCTCACCGACGATTCTTCTGTAGTGATGACGCATTGCTGTTCCAGAGGATCTGAAGTTATTTTGGGGGACAAGTCGCACATATTTCTGTACGAACAAGGCGGTTATGCTCAGGTTGATTTTCCCCCGAATTTTCCGTTGAAAATAGGATTTAATTCTTGTGTCCCAATGTTTTCAGTTTGGCGGAGTTTCAACGAAGACCGTAGAAACACTACCGGATGGAACTTTCTCTTTGAAGGAGCTGGTATCGAAATTCAGCGGAAGTAAAAGCCATTGTGCCACGACTTCTCTCATTTGCATTGAAAACACTAGCAATTTCGTCGGAGGTCGGGTTTTACCTGTGGAGTTCATCGATTCGGTTCGTGCTCGAGAAGTTCTTTTTTGACAGATGGACTTCGTCTGTAGCTTTACTATAACTTCAAATGATTACCTCTCTTTCTTGAAATTGAAAGGTTGTCGAGTTGGCAAATACGAGAAACTTGCCTGTGCACGTGGACGGGGCCCGTTTATTCAACGCTGCTGTTAGTTCGGGTTTTCCGCCCTCACGACTGGTTAAAGGTTGTGCCTCTTGCAACATTTGCTTGAGCAAAGGTCTCGGTGCACCGATTGGTTCCGTGTTGGTCGGAAAAGAAGATTTCATTGCAAGGTAATGCCCAATTCCGTAGACTTTCGTTTACATGATTTGAATGTATGTCCGTAATTGTCTAAAAGATGAAGGTATAAATTGTCAGGGTTGAAGGTAAGCTGATTAAAAATGGAGAGCACCTCACCTGAAAAAGGTTAAGAACTCCTTGAGACCAGTAAATAGCAAAAGATCCCCTTGGCGAAATACAGTATTGTGATCGAAAATCTTCTTCATACAGTACTGTATTACGGTTAACTGCTCAGTTCATCATTAAATTCTATTTTTATAAATTGCAATTCTCAGAAATGCTAGTGTTTTCAATGCAAATGTGAGAAGTCGTGAAACAATGGCTTTTACTTCCGCTGAATTTCGATACCAGCTCCTTCAAAGAGAAAGTTCCACCCGGTAGTGTTTCTACGGTCTTCGTTGAAACTCCGCCAAACTGAAAAAATTGGGACACAAAAATTTCAAGAGAAGAAATTAAGTGTATCTAAATTTTTGAGATTACAGCAGTTGATCATATAATCAGCCTCAGTCCGGACCAGGAAAAAGGAAATGGTTACTGTACTCCAAACATATTTTCAGGGCGAGAAGGACTAGAAAAGCCCTGGGGGGAGGTATGAGGCAAGTGGGTATTCTCGGCGCTGCTGGGCTTGTGGCACTGGAAAATATTCAACGCCTGCATGAAGATCACGCCAATGCAAAGAAATTCGCCGAAGGTTTGCGGAACTATTGTTCGCATTAATGATCTGATGGTGAAACGTTGATTCTTTTTTTTTTAGAATTGAATAATTTAAACAGTGCGAAAATCGAAACTGACGTCAAGGTTCTGGAAAGCAACATAGGACTGCTCAAGCTCAACGAAATATCTCCGACTATTTTTTGCCAACGACTGGGAGAGGCGAGTGTTGATTTGATCATTCTTCACTTCTTCCCCCGGAGTGTTCGCGACCCGCCATGAATATAATTTTAAATACCGTAATTACCTTCGGCAAGCCATCAATGGAAAAGTCGTGAATTAGTAATGCAGTTCATTGCTGTAATTCTGCCATGATTTCCTCTTGCATTTCTTCGTCTTCGGTCACTTAGGTTTCCGAAGAAGAAATCTCGGAGTTGGGAGAGGAAATCAGAGTTCTGATGTGCCCGTTGGACTCCCGAAGAGTTCGATTCGTCTTCCACTTGGATGTTTCTGCTCAAAACATTCCACTGTTAGTAAAGAAGATTGATTACGTCCTTCGTCAAATGTAATGTGTGTCTCAATCCTAAAGCGCGTGGAATGCGTTTCGTAAACTAACCGGTGTCGTGAGGTGAATCGATTCTGCCGTTTCCGTTGTTCGGATTTGGAAACTAACAGTAATTTTCTGGGATAGTATTTGTTGGAAAGGGAATAATTTTGATGCCAACCAACGCTGTTGTACGGTCGAAGCACGACGAGCCGTTTGAAGTCAATTTATTGAGAAGATTTTTGATTTTCTAAGAAGCTTTTGTGTTCTGTTTATAAACGTTGATTTGTTTTTGAAGGAGTTTTGATGATCGGCATTGTTGGAAAAAGTTTCCGTGGTATCGCAGTAAAACTTCCTTGGTTTTCGACGTCATCTAACTCGAGAAAGGTAAGGGTCTGAAGAGAATTTCTCAAGCTTCGCAGTGGCACTTGTATCGCCGCATGATATGCGAAGTGTTCTTTTTTCACAAATTTTCAGGCGTTTTGATTGGTCGTTTCCTATTTCAGAGGAATCGGCATTGAAAAATGAACGATTCCCGAGTAGAAGGTAATTTAGGACTATGCTAACTTGAATCAGCCTTTTTTTTTAATTAATCCGTTGTTTTTCATTTCTAAGGAAAATGAATAAATTTTAACCCCTCATTTCAGGAAAATTTTATGATTTCTGAATCTTAAAGTTTTATTACATTCCAACGAAAATCTTTTGTTTTGATTTTTTTTGTTTGCTCTAAGTAAACCTTTCTCCAAATCAATTTTACATTTGCTTTCGAAGGAAAATTGTCTGCGGAATTGAGCTCATGTTGTGTTCTAAGATTCGCCTCTCCTCCAAGAATTCTTATCGCTCATTGTGAGAAGAATTTTGTCCATTTTCTTTGCACCAACGGGGTCTTATACTGACAACCGCTGTGTATTTTTCTTTAGAATCACATCGATTATGTTGTAAATGACAAATCCTTGATGTACTACAGTAATTTCAGCTGCGAGAAACATTTTATTCCATCGTTACAATGCAAGTCAGCACGAATTTGACGAAAGCTATCTTTAGTACTGCTTCGGCCAATGTTTATGCCACCAACGATGCACAATATCGTTCAACCCAAGCTATGCGAGAGTAAAAATGCTGAGTACCCCTCATCCGTTCCGATTAGAAAAATCTCTTGCTTTAATTATTCGTGTGCCATCTTGATAGACTTTCGTTTCGGATTTCAGATGCTGATCGATTTGCGAAGCGATACCGTCACGAGGCCGAGTCAGGTGATGCGGCAGAGGATAGCCGAAGCAGAAGTTGGAGATGACGTGTTCGGAGATGATCCTACCATTAAGAGTAAGATAAGAACAGCATTGTATTTTTGAACAGGAAATGAATGAAAGTGCTCACATGCTCGGTCTTTGTTTCTAGAGCTAGAAGGTCGAGTTGCGGAAATCCTCGGAATGGAAGCTGGCTTGTATGTTCCTAGTGGGACGATGGGAAATTTATTGGCTGGTGAAGCTTCTATTTCCTGAATATACTGAGAATGATACCGTAAACTTGTGTATTTTTCAGTAATGACCCATTGCTGTTCTCGAGGAGCGGAAGTCATACTTGGTGACAAGTCTCACATCTATCTCTATGAGCAGGGTGGATATGCTCAGGTAAATTTCAGCGTTTTCGTGTTTTTTTTTAATCTTCCCTTGATGAAAACATGTTAATCCTTTGATATTGTAACTGAGCTGACTTCGTATCTTCGATTTTATTGAACTTGAACTCTGTTTTTGTGGAAAATTGTGGTTGTTGTATCTCGACAATCTGTTGTGAAGCTTGGAGGAGTGTCCTGTAAAGCCATGAAAACATTGCCGAACGGAACGTTTTCCTTGGAAGAATTCGAAGCGAACATCAGCGAAGACGATTTACACTGCGCAACAACTAAGCTGGTGTGCATTGAGAATACGTGCAATTACGTTGGGGGTCGAGCCTTGCCACTGGATTGGATCGACGCAGTGAGTGTACAGTAAAATCTCGTCCCTACAAATTTTTCAGTATAACCATCTTTTCAAGTCCCGGCAAAAAGCCCATAAAGAGTACATGTTGAAGCAATTTCGTTATGACAAACTTGCCAATTCTAGTAAAAAAAACTTATTTGAGGAATGCTCAATAGATTCTCCTGGTAGAAATTTCCTGACTAAAGCAGTCACAGTCTGAAATTTCTGATCCCAACTGTGACAGACTGATGGTTCTTGTAGCATGGATGGAAAGTGTAATCAATGACGAACATGCTTCCAAATGATTCCACACATCATCCTTTCAGAATGAAGAGATTGGTGCAACTGGTGGAACGCATGATTGAAGCTAATTTTTTCAAGATCACTCAGTTTTTCAAACAATAATGAAAAAAATGAAAAAACCGGAGAATGACAAAAAACAAGATGTAATTGATTATAGGCAGGTCTGATGTGAGACATGGTTTCCATTCATTAATGTTGAAAATCTCATTAAAACAAGGGATATTATTCAGTATGAAAAACTTATGTCTGAAGTTCCGAAAAGTTTTATTTTGTAACGAAATTTCACTGTAGTACAGAACTGTATTCATGTTTGTTCTATTAATTGTCGTTCATTCACGGATTTGTTGATCCAAAGCTCGTTGCTTCGGCGGAGAAACGGAAGGTGCCTGTCCACGTGGACGGAGCCCGATTATTCAACGCAGCTGTGAGTTCCGGCGTACCGGCATCGCGTTTGCTCCGAGGTTGCGCGTCGTGCAACATTTGTCTGAGTAAAGGCCTTGGTGCACCGATTGGCTCTGTATTGGTTGGAGGAGCCGACTTCATCGCGAGGTATATTGTAAACTGTTAAGGGACAACATTTGCCCACTTTATTCGTATTTTATATTGCCGTAATAACTCGATTACCCACGCGCACTCGAGTAAGACGCGCACCCCTTTTTAATTTAATGTGGATTTATTAAAAAAAAAGCAATATTTATTTCAAAAATAAAAATATCCAAAGTTGAATTGAACTTTGATTCAACTAATTTTAAATTGTTTTCTTTTAAATACCGCATTTACTCGATTACCACGTGCCCTCGAGTATGACGCGAACTACAGGCATACAATTTGCCGAAAAATGTATCCCAGCATTTAAGACACGCGCCCCAGTTTTATATGTTTGAAAGTCGAATGTTTATTCGAAATTATAATGTTGAACAATATAATCCCATGAGTAAATATGAGAAGATACAGTACTGCATTTTGACTGAATTTGAGCCGAACAAAATTACCTGTTCATTATTTGCGTCCAAAAATGAATCAGCTCCCACCACTAATTTCCTAATTTTTTGATCAAGAAAATGAATGACCGCATTCCATTCGCACCCTACTTTTATGCGTTGATTTTGCAGAAAATAGTTACTCGTGGTACTCGAGTAAATACGGTAAGTCTTCCTGGTAAAATTGGTCCAACATTTCCCATCAGAATCAAGCGAAAAACAATATGCTTGAAACATTAAAAACTTTTTGAAAAACCTATACCTGCCGATTACGCGCATTTTTTCCCCTCTCAATTTTGGGGAGAAGGTGCGCGTGATACTCGAGTAAATACTGGTATGTATGCGCACAGAATTGTTTTCAATTCCACCAGCGTTGTCCGATTCCCGCGCGATGTCAGATTAGTCACATATACTCTTAATATCTTGAGCCCTATCTGACAATATTATCAATCCTGAAGAAGAGAAAGGGCCAAAATTGACATTTGACATTTGATGAATGCTATAAGCTTAGAATTGAGAGAGCGTAGAAATGAGTTTGCGTTGGCAAATAATATTTCGAAAAAGGGAAACATAAGCAATAACGAAAAAATCGAAAAAAAGCCAGCTGTATGTTGACAGAAAAATTTGCACAAAAATCAGACGCTCATTGCATTGTAAAAATGTTTGCGACTCCGGAAAATTTATCAGTGAAGGATTGCATTTACTGATCTTGTCTTCATCAGAGCGAGAAGGACGAGGAAAGCTGTGGGAGGAGCGATGAGGCAAGTTGGCATTCTCGGTGCTGCTGGACTTGTGGCCTTGGATAATGTCCAACGATTGCATGAAGATCACGAAAATGCGAAAATATTCGCCAACGGTATGATTTTGCATTTTTTCGAAATGGGAAATAAATGAATGTCCGTTTTTTTTTCTACCAGGATTGGTTCAATTGAAGTGCAAGAAGATTGAAATTGATCCTAGTCTCTTGGATAGCAACATCGGATTATTCAAGCTGAACGGAATCACCCCAACCGATTTTTGTAGACGACTGGAAGAGGTAAGAATTTCTTCCCTTGTCAAATGAAAGTGAATAATCATGAAAAGCATTGACCGATTGAAATAATTTCTACGTAAGCGAAATTTTTGTATGAACCAACTTTCCTCCATGTTAATCAAAATGTTTGAAAACGTTTAGGCGATCATTGTAAAAAGATTGAAAGTACGCCAGTTTGAAAAATATTTAATTTTGGCGAGTGTTTTTTGTTTTGTTCCCAAGTTTTAAATGCACATACAGTATTCTTTGTACTGTATGTACAGTAATACAATGCGTAAAGGAATTTATTACTGTACTATTCTTGAATAAGTTGTGGAGGTACATCAGTCAGCCACGAAAGATATATAAAAAAGAGGAAGTTGACTTCGAAATAAGTCATTATAAAATAACTCATTAGCGTCTATTGAGGTGTCGAGAAGTAGAATTCATGATTACAGGAACGGCATGAATCAATACAATTTCACCACTATTTGCAGGAATGGTCATCAACTGATGAGTTTCTGACAAAATTTATCATATAGTCTTGAAACTGTTTTTGCGCTAAACTTCATCACTGCCAAAAACGATCAGTAAATGGTGGACATGGGCATCAGCTGACCGATAACCAGGGTTCACCGAGGTGATTGAGATAATACTTCTACCCTATTTCATTGCTCAGGTCACGGAAGAAGAATCGGATGTTCTTGGAGAAGAAATCAAAGTCCTGATGGGTCCATGGGACGTGGATACTGTTCGCTTTGTCTTCCACTTGGATATTTCGACCGACGCCATTCCGTGGATATTGAAAAAAATTTACTATATTCTGAATCATTCGTAGGCAGAAGATATTGTGTGATCCCTTTTAGGAAATGATCGAAGCAGATTGATTAACGGGAGAAGGAAATCAGTTGTGGGAGCACACTACACTAATTTTTCTATTCATTTAAAATTAAAGTCGGTGGAAAAAAATTCAAGAAAGACAACGGATGTGTTTTTCTTCATTTTGTTTTGCTTGGGGTTTTTTTCACCAGTTTTGTTGAACGTTGATCTTCGAAGATATTGCTTTGGATTCCCATCTGGGAAGGTATTGCTTTTAGATTCTCATCTGGGAAAAGAGGGCTTTGGGATTCTCTTCTCTGCTCAGCACGTCTAGTGCTTTTCAACAGATTTGCCATGATTTCCGCGCCCAATTGTGAGACACGTTTTTTGCGCTCAAGTTTTCTAATTTTTTTTGCCATGGGCCCACGTCAGCTGTGAGGAAAAATGATCTCAGATGAACCTTATCGTCTCCGCGTATAAATAGTCAACGGAAGTGCAACCTGATGCAATTGCTACTGGTATTTTGCAATCAAAGTTGGTGGGAAGAGTATTGTAGCGGTAGATTGTGACATTTGCAGCTCTTGGAAAAAATCTGTATCAATACTGTAATTTTTTGGCGGATTAAAAAAATTCCTATTAAACCGTCGGAAATCTCTTTGGAATAAGTAAAACGATTTTTCGACGTTCCATGTTTATTATTATTTTTTTTTTTTTCATCAACGATGAAGTCAAGCGTCGATCGAGTTTGGAATTTGCTTCATTTAAAAACTATTTATTGCGATGACAAATTCTTCGTTGAAATTCTTCAACGTGTTCTTCATATACAAGGGTTAAACATTTATTAAAATTTGAATTTTTACTGACATTCAGCCTGGAAGCAAGGTTCAATAACATTTCCAATAACAAGTTAAATTGAGCTTTTATCTTTCATATATTTAACTTATTGTTTGTTATGTACGATAGACAAATCTTTTTTTGTTCAAGGTCGGGTGTGGATTTTATGAAAGAGACTGTTTTCATAATCCCCTCCCTCTTATGAACTGAGGTTAATTGCTCATTCAGGAACTTGCAATTTTTGAATAAGAATGTGGTACACATTGCATTGCCCTTCAAACCAGGAATTAGATCAGGTGACCATTGGTCAACGTGTACATATCTTCGAACAGTACAGTAGTTGATGCAGTTGATACAAGTTTGAACCAAGGAACTTTCTGTAACATATTTCCTTGAGTAACAGCATTTGTGAAAGTCAGAAAACACTGTTTTATGATAAATCCAGTAATTTTCTTAAACTTAAGAGTGCTTGTCTTTATGCATAGTTTTACCCGTAGGGCAACTTTTATAGGGCTGATCCATTTGAAGTCAGTTTTTCATCTAAAAATGGTGAGTATTTTTTCATGATTCAACCGCATTTTAACCCTCACTATATAGCGAGAAAAATCGTTCAAAGAAGACGCACGCTTTTCCCAGAGATGCTGTTGATCCATGTTCAAGCCTGAACCTTCATCATACAACATGCAGTACTTCAAAATTATTTTTTAAATTTGACCTGACGTTTCTTTTATATTGACGCTCCTAAATAATTTTATGTTGGCAAATGTTATCGAAGTTTCAAAAGATTACGTATGAAGCTTGCTGAGGATCGAAATTTTGATTGAAAATTAACGCATATGCGATGATTAATTTTTCATCCAGGAACTGAGAACAAGTTTCCAAAAATTTGCGGGATGTTTAAAAAAATGTGGAAAAAGTAATGGAAAATTATTTAAGCTGCTGCTGCATCTTTCCCAATTGCCAGTGGTAATGAAGACATGCCGACAGTAATATTGATCAATCTCGTGAGTATGAATGTTTTCAAAGGAAACGCTTGTGGCTTAAGGAATCGGGGAGAAAACGGGGAAAAAAGCATGTAATCGTTGGTCGTTTCCCCTCAAGTCCGTGATTCCATTTATCCAATACGTGGATGCGAAGTAAAGCTAAATTTTTCGATTTTTCCGTGTTTCATGAAAATGTTTGATTCCCTTACATCGAAAGCTTCTGTTCTTGAAGGCGATGACGACATATTTCAGAAGAATTTCCGACTTTTACAATCTGGGAACGGAGCTTTTCGACTCAGGATGGCAGTGGCAATGTTCCTATGCATAAAGAATTCACGTCTTTTGTAAGGTTTGTTTTTAAATGGCTATCTTTCCGATATTTGTCAGATTTCGAAGATTGTGTTGGACGTTTGGCTTTGTTTGAGTCAACACATTCGAGTCGAGGCGTGAGTAAGGAATTAAAATTGCGTAGAGCATTTGAATACGAACAGATGCAAGATTTCGCACGGTACCTCCTTATCGAACTCGTGCAAAGAAATATTTTCATAAAATGAATTGCTGTGAATGGTAAGAATTTATCGGTAAGGGCGATTCCATTATCACAACCTCGAATGAGAGTGGTGAAGTTCCTTCTTTGATCTTCTGCAAATATTTTTGCTTAGCGGTTTTTCAATCAATACAATCTTCGGATTGCAGCGTATGCACAAATGACTACGCGAGCAATTGTGGTCATTTTACATTTGTTCCTGTTGGGGAGCGTGCAGGGAGATCTGAAAACACTAGGTGACCATTTTGAATGTTTTCATTCAGTGCAATGTATTTGAGTATGACAATATTGAGGAAATTGTAGATTGCTACACTTGCGATGGAATCCAGCCGAGACGCGAAATGTGCTGTTTGGGCGGAAAATTGGCAACTTTTCACCTGTACGCTCCGGAATATTTTCTTCCAGCATGCGTCACGGAGTATGAGAATGGTACTGAATTGTTGCGAGAATACTCGACTATTCCGTTTGATCAATTACTTTAGTTATACTGATTTAAAATGCAGGTACGATCACGGCGAGGAGAGCTACGGAGTTGCCCCTGTTCAAGGCTGAGTTGATGAATTCTTGTGAAGACGGGGAATCCTTGTGCTACTGCGACTCTCCGGGGTGCAACAATGATGCAAACTGTGATTCTTTCATCACGTCCTCAACATCCACGACAGAGGCTATTCCCACGACGGAGGACATCGTTACAACCCGTATGACCCCGGAGCATCGCATTAATTCAGGCAATATTTTGATGCTCGTTTTTATTTTTTTCTCCCCCGCAGAAGACCCTCCTACAGAGCCGCCAGCAGGGTTACAGTGTCCGAAAAGGAACGACGTTGTTCTTGCCGCAAAGAAATACAATTTAAAGCCTACCGAACCAGGTCAGGTATTCAGCACCAGATGCAAAACAAGGTTTCCTAACGGAGAGCATACTGGATCAGACGATGGTTTCAGCGATTGGCAGTGTCTGGAAAGCTCAGTGTGGGATTTGGAAACGCCAAACTTCAGGTGCCTCTTCAATGATCAAAGTTTTCCTCATAGAGGGGGAAGAAATTCATCCCTTATCTAAGAAAATAAATGAAACGTTCGCCCAATTATGAATTAACCTTGAAAAAAATGGAGTGCCTTTTCTTAATTTTCTGCGATGCTCTTTATGCTGTCAAATTTCAGGCTTTACAGTTTTGCAATAAGGAACTCAATGGTTTCTGTGATTCAGGAATTTGCCTGTTGCGAAAGAAAGCTGCCGCTTGAATGCTAAGGGAATTGTGCACCAATGCATTAAACAGTTACACGAGTGCTTGGTGTTCATACGATTACCATATTCTGTAATGTATTCAGTATAGAATCTCGTCACAACGGAGCGTTTGGGACCTTAAAAAGCTTAGACATAAACAAAAGTACAGTACATAAAAACGAAATTTAAATAACATAATGGCCATGGCACAGGAAGCAAACGAATAATTCGTTGTAAGCATTAATTCTTTATGACGAGATTCGTTGTAACAAGATTTTACTGTATTTACGTAATGCAGTGACTGCTGGGACGTCAATTATACGATGCATGAGAACAACTTGTGGAGTATGAACGGATCTGTTGCTGAGATGGTTCAAGTCCTGCGGCATCTGACGACAGACTTGGACGAGCAACAGAACACAACTGTCGGCGGTGACGTGATCCGTGCGGCGAGTTTTGCAGGCAGTGCATTGAAGTTGTGGACATCACTTCCTGGCACGAACATCACTTTTCGAGATGAGGAATCTTTTCTGAGGGAGTACGTGAGGATTTTTGACCAGATGGGTGATATGACGGTGGGATGGAGGACCTGTGGTGGAAATGCTGCTAATGTCGAGCTGTTGCGTGGCATTATTGGTGACATCTTCACTGCTGCCTTCAGCATGAATGACGATGTATTTTGGAACGAGGACTCGCACGAATTGCAATTTTCTTTCATCAGTGAGTTCGCAAAATTTATTACTGTACCTTCTTGATAGCTTACTCGTAGATACCTGTCAAATACTTCTTGTGAAACGGTCAGTGTTTCTATGAAAAAATTCTGCTTTGTTTCCTAATGCAATCTTTGTTCGGGTGCTGTGGCAGCTGCAAGAAATGTGTCTCCGCATTTCTTCCTCAATCGCATCAAATAATGGAGCTTGTTAAATTTTCAGAGCTGGTCACAAGCGCCTTGCCTAAGGGAAGTAGCATTGGAGCCTCTCAATCTAAGCCTTTCAAATACCGAGACTCAAGTTTAATTGTTCAGTTGACAAATGATGACGCATCAAATGTAGACATTCGGTTGACTGTTGTGGGAGTCCAAAAACTCCATCAGTTCATTCAACCAATGATTCGGTGAGTTTGTCCTGTTGGTGGCTCATGTCCTGTTTTTCTTCCAAAAGCTTTACATAACCTTAGTTTGACAGAAAACCAACGCGAGATGATGGGGATAATGCTACGAGTTGGTCAGCGGTGTCGATTGCCATGGGAGCCCAAGTGGATCCCGGCCGTTCCCTCGTTTCCGAAAATTCAACAATTTCTGTGAGACTGAGGACAATTTGCACGAGTTTGCCAAGTGACACGTCTGCCCGGTGCTTTGGCATGGAAAACTCGGAGGACAGTGGTCAGTGGACTGATGAGTTTTGCGAAGTGGAGGATGTCGATTCGGCGTTTTTGACGTGCAAATGCAAGATTAATAAGGTCCTCATGGTCATGGCTGCTGTTCCAGGCCGTCCCGAAGACCATTGCGTTAGTATATGTACAATTTCAAACAGAATCATTCCTGCGCGTCTGCTGATTTTCTGAAAATGTTTAATTAACTTGCGATTGTACCGTATTGAATTTTTTCCCGTTGTTTATAAGATAATTACATCAGATGTGTTGAAAGACCTGGACGCAGTGGTGATTCCTGGGTACGCCGTGGCTGGAACCCTGTGCATTTTGACCTGTTTTGTTGTGCTGTTCAAACATCCTGCCATTTTCAAGTGTTGCAAACTGACACGAACGAATTTCCTGTTCTGCTACGGCTTGCTCATGTTTGCCATGCTTTTGGGAACCAAAGTTGGCGACAAAGACAGCGTTGCATGTTCCGTCACTGGAGGAGTCGCTTTTTACCTGCTGCTTGCATCAGTGTCGTGGCTTCTCATGGAGAGCATGTGTGTGTCCCTCCTGCTGATTCCGGCAGTGAGTCATTTTGAAAGAAAATGGAAAATAGACGGTAGAACTCACGATTGTAATTATGCATATGATGAAAGATGGAATTCTGTGAAGGGATGCTGAACATCAGCTCAGGGCGGAGAATGTTGTCCATCAGTTTACTCTGTTATGGCCTACCGGCTGTCTGGATTGGAATCACAGCTGTTGCGACCAAAGTTGATGAGTTCAAGACACCCGAATAGTCAGTGAACAGGAAACGTTTTCGTTTTTTTTCTTATCCCCTAGCGGACATTTGATATAAATATAATATTTTTACCTTTTCTCCGACAGCTGCTTCTTGGATCTGCATACGGCATCAGTATGGAGTCTGATCGTACACCACACATTGGCATACTTGGTCAGTAGGGAAATATTCCGACCTCACTTCCAGAGCACGTTTTTAATTAGATTATTATTTTTTTCTGAGCAGATCATGATGATTGTCGGGTTGGTGACGATGATTCGGAAACGTCGGGCAAAGCAGTGGGAATGCGCCGTGGCTGCAAATTCGCGGGCAACGACGGTGGATCCGATCAATTTCTTGAACCGCGCGGCTTTCCAAAGCATGTTTCTCGCCCTGTTCACGCTGGTCTCTTGGATGTGCGCCTGTTACTATTTAAGCAAAGGTGAGACGGACTGTCTTCTTAAACAGACTATCGGTATGACAGGAGATCAGAGTAAATGTGCGCCACCAATATGTGATACCATTTATGAAGTTTCATGTAATCCAAGATACACATGATACGGTGGTTACCGGATTCATCTCCTCCGCGTGGATTGATTCCGAATATATTATGCCAAAGCAGATTTTTCTATTTAGTTGCTTGAAAAAATTATATTTGTAAATTAGACGCTGCATATACTATTCCTCGTACATTTAATTAAATCGGGAAGTTTTAAAAATCGAACTGAAGTGTGTGTAATTCTGTCAACAATTTTATTTCATTATATTTCAGATCAACAAAATATGCGTATATTAATCACCAAGATGTGCATTTTTAGAAGGAAAAAGTTGAACAAAAAGGGGATGACAAGCTTTGAAAATCGTCGGAAGAACGCACATGTTTAGATTTTGCTGCATGTCGATATGCTGGTGGACCACAGAAAAAGTGAAATAATTTATCAATTGTGATATTTCATCAATGTTCGGAGCTTTCACCTTGGAAAGGTCAGATTACAAAACAGTATTGCGATTTGATCATCTCTCCCGTGCTGATGAATAATTCTATGATTCCAACAGCATTAGCAAAACTACTATAGACATCGAAAAAAATTACAGTATTTAAACAAAACACACCTATGCATTCGATCGATTAATTTCTCTACTCCAATAAAGAGGTTAAAATTTTCCTCAACACCGGCCATTAACGCAAATAGGATAAATTTTATTTTCTCCTCCCCCCGCTCTTTTATTCAAAGCTTCCAATAATTTCCGACCCAGGAAATGTGTAAGAAAATAAAGTAATGCATTTAAAAAATTTATTTAGTCATGGTGGTGAAAAAAGAGGTTACGAGCTATGGTTGAAAGACGATTGAGGTGAAAATCACTCGAAACAAAATCTGGAAGATTCGCATTTTCACTGATGTAACCTGAATAATGGTATAATAACTCTTTTCGCCTGATGTATTGATTCGATTTTTTGTAACTCTGATTGTCCTCCGTTTCCCGTTTTCTTCTTACAATGTTGTTCGGATGTCATGCTCCGAAATTTCAATGACTACTTCAATGCAATTGATTTTGCCTGCTTAAGTAACATAGTTTCCTCACTCAAATCAGTTCGGTCAATTTGCTCATGAAATTTGCAAAAAAAGATGATCAACAAATTAAAATTTTTTTGTTTTTCAGGTTCCAAGGCAGCTGCTGTAGCTTTCACAGTTTTTAATTGCGCTGAAGGAATCTTGTTGGCTGTATTTTGTCTGCTGGAATTCCGAAAAACCCGAAGCTCCCCGACTCTCGAGCAGGTGAAGAAAGATATTATAGTGAACGACTTGTGAAAGCAGTCAACTTCCCGAAAAAAAAAAAACTTCGGTTTTTGTGTTTTAGATGGTGAATGAGATGAGAAACGATCCAAGTGGTTTGGATGGGTCAGGGGAGACTCTGCGAGCTTCACAGGATGGAACAGCTGCATGTTCGAATCACATGATGAATAACGCACACATGATCCCCAGGGCTCAAGTTCAATCATTGAGACAGAGAAATACAAATTCAGCCATTCCATTTGACGGCGAGTCCCAATCTCAATTGAATGACAGGAACTACTACATTCCGGATTCTCCGATTGATGAACATGTCATCATGGAACGACGTCTTTAAGAATTTCGGGCCCACAAAGCTGATTTGTGAGAATTTGCCACCGTTTGCGCCTATAATGGAAAATCGCAATAAAGAACTTGGTCGGCCCATCGTCTTTCATTCGTCTTCTGACTTTAATTCTTTAATTTCAATTCAGTGGAAGAGGATGATGCATTTAAGCAACATCCTCGATTTGACCCAATCCTGAGCCAGCTTTCATAGTACTGTACACTTTTCTATGACGTTGTATCTGATAATCAGTCCTCAAAGCCGATTTTTTATGTTAACGGCCTCATATTCGCGAGATGACCAATTTGTTTTAATTTCCTTTTTTTTTTCGAAAGAGCAGATTCCGCGATATTATAATTTCCAGCGATCGGGAGGGAAGTGATCCATCTTGAACCTTTTGCGCATGAAGAAAACTTTCTGCTTAAAAAATAAAATACTTTTTTGTATTATTTTTGAATTTTGGATACTGTATTTTTACTGGTTGTGAATCATTAGAAGAGGGTATGTTCGGTAATTATCAAAAACTTTGCTGCTCTCGTTGCAGGGAGAGAAAAGATGGACCGGTTGAAAGCTGCGCTGGAAAGAAGTGATCTGGTGGATCTATGGTCCGTGTTGCGCGACGAGAAAGATTCGGACCTTGTCAAAACATGTTTGGAAAGTTGCTTCGATCCTTACGAATCACTCTTACTGTGGAAATCCGATGATCCATTTGACCCGCGGGTCACCAAGAAGGTCACCACGCGTGATTTGGCCGCGTATGCCTTGCGTTTCGCGAATTTCGAAGTGCATCGAAACGTGTTCTTGGCTGTTTGCCGGTCTGGCTGCTCTGCCGTGTGCAGAGTACTGCTGCAGTGTGGTGCAGACGTCGCGTGGGAAGAAGATGAATTATTGTGCAAGAATAGGGACATCTTTTGTCCGGGTTTGTGGCTCGCAGTCGAGTGTGGGAATCCGGCAGCGCTGCGGAAATTGGCGAGTCTGTGGTGCTTTGCCGGGCTCAGGAAGGACCAGAAGACACTAGTTCAATTGGCTTGTGATACGAAGAAAGAAGGCATCATTGAATTCATGCGGACTTATTGTCCCACCATGGTATGTAACAATAACAGCGACTGGGCGGTGCGTGCGCTAGTTCATTCTCCCCAAACAAACGTGACTATTCTCCATTGCGATTAAAATGCTGTGCAGTACATGAAATTGGTGTCGATATAAACCAGGAAAAAATGAGAAAAGAGGAGTTATAGATGGCTGGGAAAGAAAATATAGTATATTAAGCTTCTATCAAGTGCGAATCCCAGCTTGATTCATTCATCACTAATCCCACAGACAATAGAAAAATTAAGGCCACAATGTTTCTCCCCATACTGTATCTCCAATTTTCTTTTTAAAAAATTTTTCGTATCGATGATGCCACCAATTCCCTCCTGATTCCCAGTCCTCAATCCACATTTTATTCTCTCTGACGCTGAGAAATTTTTCATGAAGATGAAAGGATTTCGTCGCCTTGTTTCGACGAAATATCCGTAGCATATTTTTCGTTATAATCTTGTGCACGTTGGTTAATCTCGCAACTTTAAAAAAAGAACAGCGTTGCATCGACGAAAGGAATGATGGGCAGTGCTCTATTTAAATAGTCTGAATTTCCTTTTCTTACGATTATTATTAAACTTCATAAATAAATGCTGCAATGGGCGCAATCCTTACGCATCCATGATGCTTCGTTGCAAATCAAAAACGTCCAAAAAACTAAACAGATGCACAATACAGTAGATGATTTCATTTCTTTAGCTGAGTGTAAGGTCACATTTTTGTCTATTCAATTGGTGACATCCTGCTTTCCACAGATCCCGCAACTTTTCCCTAGAAAATTCGGAAAATTATTTTACTTGGCTGTATTTTTCTATGGATGAAATACCTCCTAGCATGTGATCTATATGAGATTGCATCCTAGTTTGATTTTCACTTCACTGTAGGTTTTGTTTTCCTCACGTAAATGAGGACATTTCGCTGACAATTTTTTTTTCGATTTTGCGAAATGACTTTTTGTTCTGCTACCACAATTTAACTATACAGCATTATGCATTAATTAACATTCAGGGGCACTCAGCTATTCCGCAGTTCACGCCTAATCTGGTGTTAAAAAACACATGCAATATCCAATTGACGATACCTGCTGCTTAATCAATGACTGCACTAATCGCAGTGTTCCTAGCCCAACTCATTATTCATGATAATTGAACGAAACCTTTCAATTCGGATGCGGAGAAGCGCGGTATAAAAGTCGCTTTATTAACGATGAACCGAAGTTAACTATAGCTGTTCAGGACAGAAATATTCACTGTTCGTTTTCTGCCGACTCACGAAGTCCGTACACAGTCTACATGCTATGAGAGAAAATATATTGTAGTCCCGACCGTGTGCTCTTCGAAGAAAACAAGAAGAAAAAAAGCCATTTTCTTTGCATCGTTTTCACTTTGAGAACACTATATGCAAGGGTAATTTTCTCCAGGAAATGGCGTTTGCCGTGCTTGCCAACGACGCTGACGAGTTGAAGCGAACGCTACGGAGAAACGAGAATGCGAGGGTGAAGGTCGACATCCGACAGCAGATGAATGGCGGTGCTACACCGCTTTTCTACGCCATTCTCCTCGGGAATGTTCGGCTGACGGCTCTGTTGCGAAGCGCCGGTGCTAATCCATTCGTAGTCATGCGTGACGATGACGAGGCGAGTGGGGAAAACATTGTTTCTCGTTTCCTGCTTACAAAAGGACTGTGCGATGGAGCCACTGTCTTGAATGTCGAAATCCAATCAGCAGGGTCCTTTCATAAATATTGCTCAACCGTTTCAGTGATCTTGTGAGAGTACAATCAGTTGATCTTCCGAGAAAGTACTGTACGATTAATACTCCTTCATTCGTTCCTGCATCATTTCTGAAGGACACTACATTTTGAAAAATCCCTAACTGCCACAGGGATCAGAAAAATAAGTTGGAATACTGTATAAATGAGTATTGAACCGGAGAACTGACTCGGTCGTTTTATTTATATTCTGAGCATTTTCATTAGTTCTGAACTAAAATCCCAAGAAAATAAATTGCCCAACTTTGAATTTATTGATTAACTTCTCCAATTTTAAAATTTCAAGTTGATGGATACAATTTTCTGTGAATTCTTCAAGATGGTCCTAAATAACAAAAAATTGAGACCAAAGTACCATTGATTGTGGTGGAAATCTCAAAGAAAATCTCTGAATGATGATGGAAAAGGTGAAAATAATGTTGGAAGATATCATCTCGTCACTTATTTACAGACTTCGATTATTTGCTTGATGTGTGAGAAAATAAACTGCTAAATAGACGCTATATCCTCCTAGTGTCTATTAACAAAAAATTTTATCATTTCCAACTTTCATTGCAGTCAGAGTACAGTAGTCAGATGATAGCAAAAAGATCAGGATTACACCGAGAGGAGTGCGAAAAAATGAAGGAAGGAATAGTGATTGGAAGGGAAACTTTTTCGGTTTTAGGTATTTACGGATTATTTTCTCGTATCTATTGGATTTGCAACAAACTTTCTGATCATTTTTTCCACCGTTCTTCGACTTCGTCCCTTTCAAAGTTCCCGTTGAAACTTTCAGCGTACAGAAAAACACATAATGTAAACGACATCCTAATTTGACACAGTCGGAGGTGAGATTTGGAAAACTGTCTTATAATTTTACGGCTTTTCCATGAAAAAATCAAAGATTTTTATGAGTCGATTGTGTTGTACGTCCAGAAGCATAATAAGAGATGGCTTTTAATTGTAGAGAAATTGATTGTGTGACTTCTCTGGCTCGAGCAGGTTGACATGGCTGTGATATTTGCTGCTTTCAAGAAATGTTCTCAAGATGTGATCGACGTTTTAATTGAATCTCTCACGCCTCAAGAGGCTTCATTCCTGCCGTTCTGCTGGTATCAGGGCAAGAACGCGTTACAGTTCGCGATCGAGCTTGGGTTTCCGTTCAGTACGGTTACCGCTATACTGCGCAAGGGTAAGCCTTCAAGTAAACGATTTTCCGGATTTTATTACGAGTCGTAAATTCCGTGATTTCCTCTTTTCGGGTTGGCAGGTGGCCCTGGAATATTGTGTGATTTCATTGGAAACCGAGAGCTTATTTCGTCGGACGCTGTCCAGGATCTCATTTACGAATGGATGGTCAATCCGGTCGAGTACCCCGGCTACAGATTAACTGTAGCCCTGCGAGGCTTTCCTCTTCTCTCGTTTTGGTATCTTTTCGAGGACGAGCGTGACGAAAACACCGTCTGGTTTTTCACAGAAGTTCTCCCTCGACTGCAGGTGAAATCCCATTATTGTGGCTTTGTAGAGAGTACGATTACTTTTGGAAGATTTAGATTTAAAAAAAAAGATCCTGTCCGGTTCTTATTCGTTCAGGGCCTTTCCCTTTTAAAAAACGAAACTGTATTTCTGTATTATGAAGGGAGTGTATGATTTCCATTCACAATTTTTCGTATTTTATTTTTATTTTCATGCAGTATTAAAGAACTTTATGAGGCAGTATCTAATCTAAGATCCGATCATCGCAAATGGTGAGGATGATCATTGCTTGCGTTGCAATTTTTTCCATCGATTATATTTTTCCATCATGTAAGTTGTGAAAAAAGTCGGATTCCAATGTGTAGAATAATATTAGTCCTTCCGTCCATGCCGCATTTCAAAGGCTGATCTTTTTAAAATTCATGAGAAGGTCTCATGAGTTACCGAATGTCCCTAAAAATTTAACCGAAGATTCTTCGATGACGCTCTTCAATCTTGAAGAAAAATCAGCATCCAACTCCCGGCAATGCGTAGTGATTTTTTTCTTGCTTCCTACGCGGAGAGGAGACATTTTTTCAGAAATATGCGGGAAGTATTGAAAATTTGAAAAAGAATGAATCAAATTAAAAACTGGCTGAATTTCCTTCAGTATCGGACGCAACTCGTATAATATTGATGGACAGTACGCATGCACATTTTTTTGCTAGGGAGAAGTTTTGATGCTTGATGATATTGGAGGGAAATGGGGAGAAGAAAGAAAGTCTGCGAAGATTCGGCCCTGGAAGTGTTGACGCAAATTGAAGTTAGACTTTCCATTTTTTACCCCATGTTTGACGTAAAAAGGTTTACTTGCTTGCGTTGGAAGCGTCTGTTGTTGAAGGAGATGACGACAAGTTTCAGAAAAATTTCCACCTCGTTCGAAAACTTGCAGTGAGCTGTTCGACCCGGGATGGAGGTGGCAACGTTTCCCTGCATCAACTAACATCTCCTGTAAGCATTTTTTGGGGAGTTTGATGTAAGCTTATTTCTCGTCTCGACGTCAGTTGAATTTCGAGGATTGTGCTGGACGTGTGCCAGTTAACTTTTTTGTTGTTGAGGGAATGTATAGCGTCTAGAAAGAAGCCG